AAAAAAAAAAAAAAAAAAAAAAAAAAAAAAAAAAAAAAAAAAAAAAATTTCAAAGAGCAGCTATGTTTTGTTCAATGAGGGTTTTACTTTAAATGTCCATGGGAAATTCTGTAAAACACAGGGTAGATGCTTCATCAGAAAACAGGATAGTGTTTTTATATTTTCTCCATGGCATCATTTGGATAGTGGTCATGTTAAGTAGGATTTTTTGTGTTCTGCATAGAGAAAACACAAGCTTATCCAAGTTTGATATATTTGCTATCAATTCTTTGTTCGCCACAGTAGGCTATCTATATTTTGATTGATCTGTGGCTTCTTCTCTACTACCATGCATCAGTATCAGAAGATGCTTGAGAGAAGTAGGAACAAACCCACAGAGTGTGTAAGGATGAATTCATGCTTGTGTATCTGAATATGTCTGTATGATTTTAATCCTTTTCAGTGTATTGACACAGTATAACATTCTACAAATGTTAAATGTTTTAAAAATTCAATTTAAATTTTTATGGGTACATAGTAGGTATATATATTTACGGGGTACATGAGATATTTTGATACAGGCATGCAATGTGTAATAAGCGTATCTTGGAGAATGGGGTATCCATCCTTTCAAGCATTTATCCTTTGAGGTACGAACAATCCAGTTACGTGCTTCAAGTTATTTAAAAATGTACAATTAAGTTATTATTGACTATAGTCACCCTGTTGTGCTATCAAATAGTAGGTCTTATTTGTTCTATTTTTTTGTACCCATTAACCATCTCCATTTCCCCCCTACTCCCTTACTGCCCTTCCCAGCCTCTGGTAGCCATCCTTCTCTGTCTCCATAAGTTAAACTGTTTTGGTTTTTAAAATTACTTACAAATAAGTAAGAACGCGTGATATTTGTCTTTCTGTGCCTAGCTTATTTCACTTAGCATAATGACTTCCAGTTCCATCCACGTTGTTGCAAATGACAGAATCTCATTTTTTTAATGGCTGAATAGTACTCCATTATGTATATTTACCACGTTTTCTTTATCGATTCATCTGTTGATGGCACTTATGTTGCTTCTAAATTACAAATATTAATTAATACAAAGTGGTTGTTCAGATTATCTGTGTCTTGACTGGCATTTTGTCCAATTCTATTGTATATTGATCAAAGAGGAGTATTAAAGTCTGTGGGAATCTCTCTTCAATGCTGTCAAATTGTGCTTCATGTATTTTAAAATATTGTCATTGTGTGTACATGCTTATGATTACTTTGTCTTCCTGAGGACTTCTACCATTATGAAATATTCCTGCTTATCTTTAATAATATTGTTTTTCTTGACATCTGTTAATATTACACTTAATGTTTTACCAGTATAGTCATTCCAGTCTTGTATGCTGACTGTTTAGCATGTCTTTTTCCTTCATTTACTTTAAATTTATTTAGAGTCTTTATATTCAGAGTGTATCTCTTGTAAACGACACAGTTATATCTTACTTTCTTATCTGCCATGCCAATCCTTGTCTTTTTTATTTTTTGGAGATTGGGTCTCACTCTTTTGTCCAGGCTAGAGTGAGTGTAGCAGTACAATCATGGCTTACTGTATCCTTGCCCTCCTAGGCTCAAGCCAATCTCCTGCCCCACCTCCCGAGTAGCTGGGACTGCAGGTGTGTGCCATCATGCCTGGCTAAGTTTTAATTTTTTTGTAGAGATGGGGTTTTGCCATGTTGCCCAGGCAGGTCTTGAACTCCTGGCCTCAAGCAATGCTCCTGAATTAGAACTTTTGGCCTCCTAAAGTGTTGGGATTACAGGCATGAGCCACCGTGTCTAGCCTATCCCTCTCTTTTAATTGGAGTGCTTAGTCCATTTAATGCAATTGTTGATAGAGTTCAGTTCAGGTATATCATTTAACTGTTTGTTTTGTTTATTCTCTCTGCTTTTTCTATTCCCATTTCTTTCTTCCTTCCTTCCTTTCTTTCTTTTTTTTTTTTTTTTTGAGATGGAGTCTCTGTCTCCCAGGCTGGAGTGCAGTGGCATGATGTCAGCTCACTGCAACCTCTACCTTTTGGGTTCAAGTGATTCTGCTACCTCAGTCTCCCAAGTAGCTGGGATTACAGGCATCCACCACCACGCCTGGCTAATTTTTGTATTTTTAGTAGTGATGGGGTTTCACCGTGTTGGCCAGGCTGGTCTCAAACTCCTGACCTCAAGTGATCTGCCTCCCTCGACCTCCCAAAGTGCTGGGATTACAAGCGTGAGCCACTGTGCCCAGCCCCTGTTTCTTCCTTTCTTGCCTCGTTTTGGATCATGCATTTTTTTAAGAATTCCATTTTAATTTGTCTGTTGACTTTTGGCTCTACTTCTTCCTATCATGTTTTTAATGGTTGCTCTAGGGATTATAATCCACATAAAATTTTTACAGTCTACTTAGAGTTTTACAGTTTTGTTTTTTGTTTTTTTTTTGAGACAAGGTTTTGCCCTGTTGCCTGAGCTGGAGTGCAGTGGCTTGATCATGGCTAACTGCAACCTCTGCTTCCTGGGCTCAGCTGATCCTCCCACCTCGGCTTCCTGAGTAGCTGGGACTATAGGCATACATGACCATGCACACCTAATTTCTTTTTCTTTTTTTTTTCTTTTTCTTTTTTTTTTTTCAGAGAAGGGGTTTCACTATGTTGCCTAGGCTGGTCTTGAACTCCTGGGCTCAAGGGATCCACTCACCTTGGCCTACCAAAGTGCTGGGATTAGAAGTGTGAGCCCCCACACCAGCCTTAGAGTTGTACAGTATCCACCTTATTGTACACCTTCTTGTAACATGTAGAAATCCTGCAGTCAAATTGATTCATCTCCCATTATTTATGCTATAGTTGTTTTATATATGACACATGTAACATATGTCTTAAAATCCCCAGGCCCATGTTATAATTTTTTTTTTTTTTGCTCCAAACAGCCATATATTTTAAGAAAATTAAATGAAAATATTAGTCTTTTATATTTATCTAGATATTTCCCATGTTCTTCATTTCTTTCTAGAGATTTGAGTTTCCATTGAGCATGGTTCCCTTCAGCCTGAAAACTTCCCTTGACTTATTTTATAATCCAGGGCTATGATTGACAAGTAGACCTAGTTTTCTTTGATCTCTAAATATGTCTTTATTTTGCCTTCGTTTAAAAAAATAACTTTATTGGCCGGGCGCGGTGGCTCAAGCCTGTAATCCCAGCACTTTGGGAGGCCGAGGCGGGTGGATCACGAGGTCAAGAGATCGAGACCATCCTGGTCAACATGGTGAAACCCCGTCTCTACTAAAAATACAAAAAATTAGCTGGGCATGGTCGTGCATGCCTGTAATCCCAGCTCCTCAGGAGGCTGAGGCAGGAGAATTGCCTGAACCCAGGAGGCGGAGGTTGCGGTGAGCCGAGATCGCGCCATTGCACTCCAGCCTGGGTAACAAGAGTGAAACTCCATCTCAAAAAAAAAAAAAAAAAAAACTTTATTGTGGTATAATTTATATAACATCTCATTTTTAAATGGATAACAAAATGATTTCTAATACATTTACAGAGTTATGAAAGGAACTGTGTGGTCCACAAAGTCAAAATACTTACTCTTCACAGGAAAAGTTTGCTGACCCCTGCTTGACTGTCAGGAGTGGCAGCCTGCTTTCAGAATGTATTTTCCACATCATTTACTAAGTGTATTAAATAGCAGTTCAGTGGCTTCAAAGAGCCACTCTTTTAGAGAACATAATTTTAAGGAACTCACAGCTCCTAGAATCTTCCCATCAGTGGTGGTGCTTCTTGCATTGTCAGTTCCTATTCTGATCACCGCTTTGAAACAGACTCTTGTGAAGGATAAGACCTGTCCGTCTTATCCTTTGTTGGCCAAGTCCTCAACAAAGTGCAAGGCAATGAGGAAGATATTGTCTGTATAGTTCAGGCTGTTCCAGGCCACAGAGACCCGGCCTGATTTTGTTAAATATGGAAAAATTGCCCAAATAATGAGAAAAGCCATAAAGAGAACTATTTTGCAAGATTAAGGGCTGCAAATTGGTAATAGCTTGAAAATCCATTCCTCAGTCAGGTAAACTGCAGCTCAGTTTCTTGGAGTGCCAAAATGAGACATTGCTAATTTTAAAGTCATTGAATATATAAGAGTTGAAACCATCTACACAGTTTCGGGTTCAGTAGTTTGAGAACAGAGATTTCTCAGAACATCATAGTAAACGGTTTCATATTGAGTCTACTGTAGAAAATAGCAACATTATGTTATTTTGACCTGTGAAGATCTTATATAAATTTTCAGCCAAATTGAAAAGTAATTACTGCAGAAAGAAAGTGTTAAGTGGGAGAAAAGAGGAAAGAAAGGTAAACATTGCCTTCTGTTCTTCCTTTTCTGCCTGCTGTATAAATATTGAGTGTAGCCCTGAGTCAGAAAACACAGGTTTGGTTTAATTTAAAATATGTACAACTTTCTTTTGGTTGTACAAACAGTAATAGTTGAACTAGAGGTATTGTTCTTAGCTCTCCTTAACTCAATAATTTATCAGATTTTCTGGTTTATTTTTGGGCAAATGTGCAAATAATTAGACATACTAAAAGCGCATGCTAACTTGTTTATTTGAAAACTCACAAAAACGGCCAGGTGCAGTGGCTCACACCTGTAATCCTAGCACTTTGGGAGGCCGATGTGGACAGATTGCCTGACATCAGGAGCTCGAGACCAGCTCTGGCCAACGTGGCACATCCCTGTCTCTACTAAAAATACAAAAATTAGCCAGGCATGGTGGCACAAGCCTGTAATCCCAGCTACTCAGGAGGCTGAGGCAGGAGAATTGCTTGAACCCGGGAGGTGGAGGTTTCAGTGAACTGAGACATGTCTCCAGTTTGGGAGACGGAGTCAGACTCCATCTCCAAAAAAAAATTTACAATAATGAAATCATTTTTTTTCATTTTTCTTCCATCTGGAGACATAATGGCAAATGGTTAATGATGTAAAATTGTAGAATTGGCTGGGTGCAATTGGTCATGCCTGTAATCTCAGCACTTTGGGAGGCCGAGGTGGGTGGATCACCTGAGGTCAGGAGTTCGAGACCAGCCTGGCCAAGATGGTGAAACCCCATCTCTACTAAAAATACAAAAATTAGCCAGGTGTAGTGGTATGTGCCTCTATTCCCAGCTACTCAGGAGGCTGAGGCGGGAGAATCACTTGAACCTGGGAGGCAGAGGTTGCAGTGAGCCAAGGTTGCACCTGCACTCCAGCCTGGGTAACAGACTGAGACTCCATCTCAAAAAGCAACAAAAACCAGATTATAGAATTATCTTTGTCATATGCCTTTTGAGAAAATTAAACTTCCAAGACAAAGCAAAACAAAATGAAAAAACTGTTATATTTAATGCTTCTATTTTATGAACAGTTCCATTTGATTGCGTTAAATGAGCCTAGCTTTGTCCCCATTTTGTATACCTGGGTACTTGGTTGAATATATTTTAGATATTTGCTTTTGCATATCATACATACCCATAAATGTTTTTGAATGAACATTGAAGTGATCTATCTAATTTACAAATTATTGCCTAGTCTATCCCCTGTTTTTAAAAAAAAAGAACTCAGCTGGGCATTGTGGCTCATGCCTTCAGTCCCAGCAGTTTGGAAGACCAAATTAGGATTGCTTGAGGCCAGTTCAAGACTAGCCTGGGCAACATAGTGAGACCTTGTCTCTACAGTAAAACAATAATTTTAAAAACTCACAGAATAAAAACAGTGCATTTAGTAGAATTAGACTAGGTAACAGAAAGAGAAAATACAGAATTAAGACCAGTCCTTTCATTAGAGAAAGTTATTTGAGTGAAACATTTTAATTTGTGATTGATCTTCATAGGAATATCAAATAAACGACAAGAGGCTTACTTGGCTCATGTTTCTGCTTCTGTACAAAAAGCATCGTGCCAGCATCTGCTTCTGGTGAGGGCCTTAGGCTGCTTCCACTCATAATGGAAGGCAAAGGGGAGCTGGTGTATAGAAATCACATGGCAAGAGATCACGTGAGAGAGAGAGAAAGAGAGAGAGAGACAGACAGACAGACAGAAACAGAGAGAAAGGAGGTGCCATACTCTTTTCAACAACCAGCACTTGTGGGAACTCACCTCCTGTTAGGCCCAGCCCTAATATTGGCTGTCAAACTTAAACATGAGATTCAGAGGAGATAAACTTTCAAACTGTATAGCAATACGTTTATGTAAAAAGTCACATTCTTTTTTTGGAGACAGAATCTTGCTCTGTTGCCCAGGCTGGATTGCACTGGTGTGATTTCGGCTTACTGCAGTCTCCACTTTCTGGGTTCAAGTGATTCTCCGGTGTTGTCAGCCTCCCGAGTAGCTGGGAGTAGAGGCATGATCCACCATGCCCAGCTAATTTTTTTTCTTTTTTTTTTTTTTTTTTTGAGACAGGGTCTCACTCTGTCTCCCAGGCTGGAGTGCATTGGTGCAATCTCAGCTCACTGCAACCTCCTCCTGCCTGGCTCTGTGGCGTCACTTACCACACTTTGCTGTAACCGTGTTCTTGGCTGCTGCTTTGGATAGGTGGTTCAGGCAAGAGCTGTGGCTTTTGTTTATCTGGTTTATACTGTGACATAGGGGGTGGTGCTAAGTTGCTCTTCCATTTATACGTAACACATGGAGCTGGGCGAGGCCCTGCTCTTGTTTTTATTCATTGGCTTGTGTTTTGATTTCCTTTTGTACTCATCCCTTCTTTCTATTTCCCCTTTCTCCTTGAGCCGCAAGTTTGATAACTTTAATGTGTTTCTTTTTGTTTTATGTTTTTGCATAATACAGATAGAATTTATAGTTTTTTTTTTTTTTTTTTTTTTTTTTTTTGAGACAGGGTCTCACTGTCACCCAGGCTGGAGTGTAATGGCGTGATCTTGGCTCGCTAAAGCCTTGACCTCCTGAGCTCAAGTGATCCTGCCACCTTAGTCTCTTGAGTAACTGAGACTATAGGCGCATACCACCACTCCTGGCTAATTTTTGTATTTTTAGTAGCGATGGGGTTTTACCATGTTGCCCAAGCTGGTCTTGAACTCCTGTGCTCAACCGATCCACCTGCCTCAACCTCCTGAAGTGCTGGGTTTATAGGTGTGAGCTACCACCCCGGACCTGTACATGTATTTTAAAGTTGTGTACCCTTAAGTTGAGGATATATGTTGTTTCTTTTATTTTTGAGCACAATGTATTTAAGGTGCTTCCATGTCAGCATCTGTACATCTAATTTGCTCCTAACTGCTGTATAGCATTGAACGATGGGTAACCATCACGTGGTCCATCTCCACACCAGAAGCTTTCTATATCTTTATCTCCAGCTCTTAGTGCAATAGGTTGTTCATAAATGTTTGGTCATTGGATGAATGAATGAATGTGTGAGTGAGTTTTGACAGTGCTTGTGGGGAGACATCCAGGTAGAAGAGGCAGCAAGAGTTAAGATACAAGAGTACAGTGAGTGAAGAAGCAGGCAGTCCCAAGTGTGTGTGGCTCGCGTGCTTGTGCATGCAGGAAGTGGTGGGAGGCTGAGGAAGGAGGAGATGGCCCTGACTTTGTGGATGGGTGATGCGTTAGTGAAGGACAGATATTCGAGAGATCCGGTAGATATATGTCACATGGATATACAGTTAGGGCTAGAGAGGGAAGTGGTTGTAAGTCACTATGGAAGATGCAGTTGTAGTGTCACAGCACACAAGGACAAACAACGGCCATTCAGTAGGATAGTCCATCCTTGCTTAGAGGCGTACTTTAAATCTTTTGAATTTCCCCTATATTGTTGTGTTTTTGTTTTTTTTCCCCCTGAGACGGAGTCTCACTCTGTTGCCCAGGCTGGAGTGCAGTGGCACGATCTTGCCTCACTGCAACCTCTGCAGTTCTCTGCCTCAGCCTCCCAAGTAGCTGGGATTACAGGCACCCGCCAGCATACCTGGCTAATTTTTTTTTTCTGTATTTTTTAGTTGAGACAGGGTTTCACCATCTTGTCAGGCTGTTCTTGAACTCCTGACCTCGCTATCTACCCGCCTCGACCTCCCAAAGTGCTGGGATTTCAGGCATGAGCCACTGCACTCAGCCTACCCCATATCTTATTATGGATTTGTCAAACATTTGTTTTTTCTCATGCCTTCTTTTCCTATAGCTTCTAAACAAATTATATTTCTGATCAGCAAGTAGGTAAGTGATATTTAGAACTAAGAAATTTACCCATTGATAAAGATTTCCATGATAATGGATCACATTGATCAGTTATGACCTTTAGAGCAACTTCAAAGAATCAAACCTACTGTATGTGAAGAAATAAACAAGAAAAGCTCTACTGAAGAATATCTTCCCTTTTTTTCAGATTAATGCATGGACAGTAAAGCTGAATTGTGCCTTGCCTCCACCCCTCCATCAAACTGAAGCTTGGCTTCAGGAGGTAGAAGGGCTTATGGATGAAGATTTGTCAACCTCCCAGGATTACTCTCAAGACACGACTCTGATACAAGAGAAAATGACTTTATTCAAGGTTGGAAAAGCAGAAAAAGAGATGTAGAAAAACACATTTTGTTAGGGATTGTTCTTGAGGAAGACTTTTTCCTAAAAAGAAGGGAAGGAAATATGATGGATATTTGAGGATGGTTTAGAATGATTCCTCTGGCGATTTTCGGGACCTAGAAGATAACTTTATGTTCATGACCATTGTGCTAGTTTAAGGTTGAAACAATAAAGATAGAATCTAAATAAGGATAGAGTTCTAAAGCAACTGTAAATAAAGTCTGACCAAAAAAAGGTCAAGGGGTAGGAGGGTGGAGAAGAGGGGGCCTGATTTAAAATTTGAGAGACCGGATTCTCACTAAAATGGCATGAAAGAAATGATGTGAGATTTATGTTATTTGAGCCTACAAAGGAATAGAAAATACACCAATAAATAAAAGATTATAATAATGGTTTTACTAAAGACACTGTAGTCTGCTTCTCTATAAAATATTCAGCTTTGAAACATTTATGATGAAAATATTTATTTACAAAATCTTTATTAAGGGGAGGAGTTTCAGCCTAGGCAATATAGCCAGACCCCACCACTACAGAATTTTTTTAAAAAACAAAATTAGCTGGGAATTGTAGTGTGTGCCCGTAGTTCCAGCTACTCGGGAAGCTAAGGTGAGAGGATCCCTTGAATCCAGGAATTCCGAGCTGCAGTGAGCCACGATTGCACCACTGCATTTTAGCCTGGGTGACAGAATGAGACCCTGTGTCTTAAAATAATAAAGAAAAGTGGGTTGGGGGAGGGCTTCATGATTTTTTTTGAGAAAAAATATAATGTAACTGAGATAGACAAATCCTTAATTACAGTGTTTGGCAATAAATATGGCTTATGTCATGCTGAATTTCTTTTCAGAGCCTGATGGATAGATTTGAGTATCATTCAAACAATCTCCTTACCTTTGAAAATAGAGATGAAAATCATTTGCTGTTGGTGCCACCTGACAAATTGGAGGAAATGAAAAGACGGTGTGTAACACTACCATTTCACAACCGCTGGTGCTATTCACGTTTGAGTAACAGCTTGTACTACAGGGACCACAAAATACAGATTTTTAGATAATTTTTACCAAATATTCTCCTTTCAATCTTGATGACAATATCTTCATGTTTTATGTAATAGTAACATTGTAGATACTATGCAAACATACTTCCTTTCTTATTGAATGGTAGAATATGGTGATGGAAAAAGTTGAGAAACTGAGCTCTGTATCTTGGTTTTGGATAAGTTTTTCTCTTTTTGAGCATGTTTCCTCCTTTGTAAATTTGGGTTAATGATGATCACCCTGTCCAGGTCTCACCAGGAAACTGGATCATATGGGAGAAGGGATATGAAAGCATTTTATAATTGTAAAATACTATAAATATTGAGATTATTTAATCAATTATCTTTTCTCATTCAGAAGTAACTTATTAGTGTAATAAGAGGGTGTTAGCCTTAATAATGAAAAAGCTTAATATATAAACTTATAGTTTTATATTAAGTCATATGGAAGTTTTCAGATTTAGTAAAATATTTCATAGATCAACATTTTATTATAGGATTTGTCAATTGGGAAATCGTTTATTCAGAAAATGTTCTTTGTTTTATGTTTTTACCTTAGAAATGGTTGTTTTATATCTAGTCATGGTATCTTACAGTGTTTAAAAAAGAAAGAGATAATGATACATCTGAGTTCCATGTGCTTAAAAGAACAAGTTGAAGCCTCAATATTTTTAAAAATGCTGAACAGATTTCTCACGTTTGGTCAATAATATGAAGTTAAATTCCTAAACTTGCACTGTTTTCCAGAATCAACAACATTTTGGAGAAAAAATTTATTCTGCTTCTAGAATTTCATTACTGCAAGTGCTTAGTTCTTGGTTTGTCAGATGAAGTGAAATCAAAATTGGATATTTGGAACATTAAATATGGGAGCAGAGAATCTGTGGAATTATTGCTGGAAGACTGGCATGTAAGCTTTTAATTTTGTGTCTTAGGCAACTGTTCTCCATCTCTTGCTGCTGTGTTTGCATTTTTACTTGGCACGATTTCCCATTAACTCTTCAGGCTTTGAGATGGGTTTTCTTGATAGATTTCTTTAGCTTAAATATTGCCTGAAGAAAAGAATTACAAGGAGTCAAATAGCAGCAGAGGGAAGAGTGGAAAAATATATATACATGTCACTACTTGCTACCCAAGGGGAGATGAAGAGTTAACCAAGACAGTTAATGTAATATAAAAGGTTTCCATGCTTTTTTTCATTGAAAATTCCTTCTTTCACTTGCTTGAAATGTTAATTTTTGTTTCCTTTTCTGATTCATACTTTCATGCAGTAATTACATTTTTCATATAACATTTTGATCTTAGCTTACTAAATTTACTACTTATGATACACATTTTCTCTTTTGTCTTAAGGCTTTCTTTTTGGCTTTAACTCTTCAAGTTTATAGGAAGAAATGTTTGAAGTCACTTAAATATAAATATATTCACATCTAAGTTAAAACTACAGCATCACAAAAATGCCAATTCTACACTCAGGCCTTATCCTTCTTTTTGTTTCCCTCTTTTTAGAAGTGAGGGGGTGCTGGGTGTGGTGGTGCACAGCTGTAATCTCAACACTTTGGGAGGCCAAGGCAGGCGGATCACCAGAGGTCAGGAATTCCAGATCAGCCTGGCCAACATGGCAAAACCCTGTCTCTAATAAAAATACAAAAATTAGTCAGGCATGGTTGTAGGTGTCTGTAATCCCAGCTACTCAGGAGGCTGAGGCAGGAGAATTGCTTCAACCTGAAAGGTGGAGGCTGCAGTGAGCTGGGATTGTGCCACTGCACTGCACTCCAGCCTGAGCAACAGAGCAGTTGTCTCAAAAAGAAAGAAAGAAAGAAAGAAATGACGGGGAAAAGAAAAATTCCAAGATTGCGAATTTTATTGTAAAAATTAAAAAAATGATAAAGAGAAATTTACTCCCAATTTATGATTTAAACACTGTATGTTTCCAAACAGGAAGCAGCGTCATTCTAAACTAGGCTAGATTTTGAATATTTCTACTTCTTTGATTTTTCATTTTTCTATTTAAATGTTCATACTATTGGCACATATAAGTATTCAGTAAATATGAATTTTGAATTAGGTTAGTATTTTTCCGTAACAGAATCTGGTTAATGGTAGTTTCTGAAATGTGTTTGTATGACAGATATCTCTTTGTAACATACTCTAATATATCTGAAAAGATTACTCAATAAAGCATGTGAAATAAGAGCACTGACACAATTATGTAATATTAATAAAATGTGCAAAGTAGGAGATCCTGAAATTACTATAAATACTTAACTTGCCTTTTTCCACAAGAGGAAAACTACCGTATCACCATGTCACCACATTAAGATAAATTTTATCAGATGTCATACCTGTTTAATGTTCACACTCAGCTTATATCTCCTGGATTTTAACCATCCTTCTTCCTCTTTTCCTACCGAATATGTAGTGTTAAAGACCTAAAGAAATTTTGGTAACTATGTCCTTCATTGAATGTCTATATCTCCCTATCTGGATTTCTTGGCACAATTTTAGAAGTAAAAACTGTCAATGTGTTTTTTTCTTTTCTTCCCAGAAATTTATTGAAGAAAAAGGATTCCTAGCCCAACTTGATACCTCTTTTCAAAAGTGTGAAGAAATTTATAAGAATTTGGGTAAAGTAGTTCAGTTACTTTTTGAAGGAATGACTGTCACTTAATGATGTTTTATCTGTTTTACTTTCTATATAATGTTTTAGAAATTAGTTTTATGTGCATGTTTTCCTGGGAAAATTCTTGCTTTCACTTTTAATATTGTCAGAGGACATATTATTTTGCCACTGTCAATTAATGCAAATATTTTAAGAATATTATTAATGAAAAATTGTTTTTTTAAGATCACTTTTTTGTTTTAATATTGCAGCTGGAGAATGTCAGAATATTAATAAACAATATATGGTGATGAAATCTGATGTTTGTATGTATAGGAAAAATATATATAATGTGAAGTCCACTCTACAAAAAGTGCTGGCATATTGGGCTACTTATGTGGAAAACCTTCGCTTATTAAGGGCTTGCTTTGAGGAGACAAAGAAGGAAGAAATTAAAGAGGTATTTGCAATCTAATAGTATCTGCTCAATTTTATTTTTTAATTGTTTTATTTTATGACCCTCATTTTCAGTTCGAAGATGAGAAAGCAGAGACGAATACACCAGTGTTTTGGAAAATTCTTCGAGGTTTGGAAAGAATTTAGTTTCTTCCCAATATAATTGCCAAGAGGCAGTTTTCTCCACTGGTTTATAGGTTTTATACATGGTCACACACATACATACACCCCCACGCACCCACCCACCGCCAGCAACACAGAGCTTTCTTGAGGTATAATTTACATACAGAGTAATAGCTTTTTGGAGATGTTTTGCTAAACTCTTTTGGAAAGGAAATAAGACTTAATGTGGACGCTGTGTGCAGGCACTCAGAATGGTCCAGCGTTTGACATACCAACGTAGGCTTTCCTACAATACCGCCTCTAACAAAACTAGGCTGTCCCGGACCCCTGGTAATAGAATTGTTTACCTTTATACCAAGAAGGTTGGGAAAGCACCAAAATCAGCATGTGGTGTGTGCCCAGGCAGCCTTCGAGGGGTTCGTGCTGTAAGACCTAAAGTTCTTATGAGATTGTCCAAAACAAAGAAACATGTCAGCAGGGCCTATGGTGGTTCCATGTGTGCTAAATGTGTTCGTGACAGGATCAAGCGTGCTTTCCTTATCAAGGAGCAGAAAATCGTTGTGAAAGTGTTGAAGGTGCAAGCACAGAGTCAGAAAGCTAAATAAAAAATGAAACTTTCAGTTAAAAAAAAAAAACAAAACAATGTACTGGGTAGCTTATAGACACATTTAAAATAAATTACTGTTCAGAAAATGTTATTTTTACATTTGGTTGAAACCCTCCAGCTGTAAAATATTCCTGAGTTTCTAGAGGAGGACAATTAGGATACCTTAACTTATGTGTGGAGGTGTGGAAGAACTGCCAATGTAATTCATTGTTGTTTTAATGTGTTATTCCTGTAATAATCTGTTCTGTGATTATCTGAGATAGTTTCTCTTTCTTTCATTTGTTTTTCTCTGTTGCAGATAGCTATAGTCTTTCAGATTAAACATTTTCAAAATAGAAACTAAAACTACTCAATAGAAAATAGATTATTTGTATTAAAGTAAAAGTGTAAGAGTACAAAAAAGAGCATTGTAGGGGTTGAGTCAGCACTTCTTTCTGTCACCCATATTAATACTAGAAATTCAGATCCTTGTCTTCCAAAAGTCCCTCTGTCTTTAAAGGTCTTCTATAAAAATGTACATAACTGAGAGAAAAATAACACTCTAAGCTTGTAATATCCAAACTGCTAAGAAATCCTGAGCTACCAGAGAGAACTAACAGAACTTACAGAACACTCTAAAATTCGAAGGAGACACAACAACATCCATCTGTTGGACACCACGCTGCTACTAAGTTGTTGAACTGACTATTAAAAATGGGAACTGTTAGATAATATTTCTGGCCTAGGGACACTGAAAAAATTAATGAGACAGTTAGGGCTCCATGAACTAAACAAGTTTGGAAACCTCTGCTGTAAGTTCATCAACCACACAGAAAGAGAGATTGGATGCATCTTAAAAGTCCAGGACCAGGAGTGATGACAGACAGCTGGCACTCGCCAGTTAGCACTTAGTAATGAAGAGCTAGACCAACAGGGATGGCGGATTCCTCTAAGGGGAAAGTCAAAGTCCCTGCAAAGAATGTTGCTTAGAATTAGTCTTGGTGTGGAGGTTGCAGTGAGCCAAGATCCCACCACTGCACTCTAGCCTGGGCAACAGAGCAAGACTCTGTCTCAAAAAAAAAAAAAAAAAAAAATTCCGGTACGGTGGCTCATGCCTGTAATCGCAGCACTTTGGGAGGCCAAGGCGGGCGGATCATAAGGTCAGGAGTTCGAGACCAGCCTGACCAACATGGTGAAACCCCATCTCTACTAAAAATACAAAAACCATCTGGGCGTGGCGGCCTGCGCCTGTAGTCCCAGCTACTCAGGAGGCTGAGGCAGGAGAATGGCTTGAACCCTGGAAGTGGAGGTTGTGGTGAGCCAAGATGAGGCCACTGCACTTCAGCCTGGGTGACAGAGCAAGACTCTATCTAAAAAAAAAAAAAAAGCCTTGGTGAACATTTGTTATACATAATAGAAAGACACTATTATGTCATTAAGATAGTATGTTGCTTATCTGTTATGTAGGTTCCCTTTGAGACAGTAGCCCAGTGGAATCTAGAACATGGGACTTTAAATGAAGCAGGAAATTTTTTAATCGAAGTCAGCAATGATGTGGTTGGATCATCTATTTCTAAAGAGCTGAGAAGGCTGAATAAAAGATGGAGAAAGTTTGTTTCAAAAACTCAACTTGTAAGTTCTTTTAACTTGTTACAGCTTTATTTAGATATGATTCATGTACCATACAATTTGCTCATTGTAAGTACATAAATGATTGATTGCTGGTATATTCACAGAGTTGTGTAGACATTACCATACAAAATTTAGAATATTTTTATTAATTCATAAACCCTGTACCCCTAAGCAGTCACTCCCTATTTTCTTCTAACCTCTAGCCCTACAGCCCTATACAACCACAAATCCACTGTCTTCTACAGATTTGCCTATTCCGGACATTTTACATAATAGAATCATATATATGTGATCTCTTAGGGCTTATTTTACTTGGCATAATATTTTTGAGGTTCATTTGTGTTATAGAATGAAATAGTACTCATTCCTTTTTATTGGCAAATAATAATTCATTGTATGGATATATACCACATTTTGTTTATCTATTCTCTAGCTGATGCTCATTTGAGTTCTTTTCACTTTTGGGTTTTTTATGAACAGTGCAGCTATGGACATTCATGTGGACACATGTTTTCTTTGAGTGTATGCCTAAGAGAGTGTACGCCTGAGAGAGCTGTTAATTCTTGAACCCTTTCTACTGTAGAGCCTTCTAGTTGAAATTCACTTACCATAAAGGAAAAACAAGCATTGTTTGGCCTACTAGATTTTCAGCTCCTTGAAAACGTACACTGAGCCTTATTTATCTTTCTATGTAGCATAGTGCCTCATGAAAGGAGACTTTTTATAAAACATTTTTCAACTAATTCCATTTCTTAACAATTTGAGACCTAGGTCTTTTATGTGAAATGCTCATATTTTATAATATTGTTGCTAGTTGAGTCCTAAAAATATTCTTGAATATATTATGTCCACTTACTGTTTGTAATGTATATTAGCATAAAATAAAAGTATGAGTATTAAATTTTATAAAATTAATTTTGTATAGGAAATGAACCTACCACTGATAAAAAAACAGGATCAGCCCACTTTTGACAATTCTGGAAATATTCAACTATCTGAAGAAGAAAAAGCAACTGTTGAGTTTTCAACAGATTTGCCAATAGAACTTCCTGAAAATTATAATCAAAATATAAAGGTAAAATAGTCATAATTCGTATATTTCACTTGCATATAGACATAATTTAACTTTGGTACTTAAAAAAAAAGATATTGCTGGGTCCAGTGCCTCATGCCTGTAATCCCAGCATTTAGGGAGGCCAAAGTGGGTGGATCACTTGAGCTCAGGAGTTTGAGACCAGCCTGGGTAACATGGCAAAGCCCTATCTATACCAAAAATACAAAGTTTGCTGGGTGCGTGGGTGCGCACCTGTATTCTAGCTACTTTGGAGGCTGAGGGGGGAGGATTGCTTGAGCCTGGGAGGTGGAGGTTGAAAATGAGGCAAGATTGTGCCACTGTACTCCATCCTGGGTGACAGAGTAAGACCCCTGTCTCAAAGAAAAAAAAAGATATTGTTGAGATGGTGGTAAATGTGTGGATTGCTGGATGACATTTAAAGTGTGATCATTTCCTAGGAAAATGCTTGAATGATTTCCCTCATGAAGTCATTAGCATGGAAGTCTTACTTACTCCACTTACTGTGCTCTCACAGACACACAGAGCAGTCCTGACTCTGAGCAGTATAAATTGAGTTGATGTTTTCCTGAGATTACCTCTGACTAGTGCTCAGAAATTGTCTAGCTTTAGGCTAACCCTTGGCGTCTGTGTGTCTGGCTTCCTTTCTGTAAAATGGGAGAAAATATTCTATTTCTTCCTTGTTTTGTTGGGTAATTTGGTAGATGACTTTACATCATAGGAAAAAGTACAGAAAAAGAACAAAAAATAAATTAAAAATCATATATTTATAAGATATAATACCTGTGACTTTGGAAATACTCCCTTCCTTCATGATAACTTATACAGCTTTATTTAAACTACTTTTAAACTAGCTCGGATCCATTTGCATGATGGAGTGCCAGTGTTTTCACACTGTAAGAATGCCTACTTAGAATACCTGGAAAGATCTGAATTTTTGCGGTGTGCTTTAAAATACTAGCATCTTCTGATACATTTCAAATATAATCTCACCAGGCAAGGTGTCTCATGCCTGCAATCCTAGCACTTTGGAGGCCGAGGCAAGAGGATTACTTGAGCCTAGAAGTTTAAGACCAACCTGGGCAGCATAGTGAATCCTGTCTCTATTTAAAATAAAATAAAATAATAAAATAAAATAAACAGTGATCTAATCTTAAATGATCTAATCATTTAAGAATGTATCTGTGGGTAGCGCACGCCTGTAATCCCAGCACTTTGGGAGGCTGAGGCGGGCAGATCACTTAAGGTCAGGAGTTTCAGACCAGTCTGGCCAACATAGTGAAACCCCATCTCCACTAAAAATAAAAATAATTAGCTGGGTATAGTGGTGGGTGCCTGTAATCCCAGCTACTCAGGAGGCTGACGCAGGAGAATCGCTTAAACCTGGGAAGCAGAAGTTACAGTGAGCCGAGATCATGCCACTGTGTTCCAGCCTGGGTAACAGAGCGAGACTCCATCTCCAAAAGAAAAAAAAGAATATATCTGTATATCCCATAAATATAAGCCATTATAATTTGTCAATATACAGTTTAAGACATAATATATCTCTTGTAAAGCTATAGTATGTCAACCTATAGATTATTAATGGGAAAAGATTTAATTTTGTTGAAATTTGATTCTGAGTTTCTTCTTGATATTTTACAATAATAGCTATATGCATTTAAATAGTATATGAGTTTTAGAAATGTGTTTATAGTCACTTACCCTAATTTACTAAACTTTAATCCTCTTACATGTAAAATGGAGAAAATATCTAACTGATAGGAATGATACTGTAATTAAGTAAGAAACCCTGAGCATAGTGTCTCATGCCTGTAATTCCAGCTCTTTGGGAGGCTGAGATGGGACTTAAGCCCATGAGTTTGAGATCAACCTGGGCAACATAGTGAGACCCCATCTCTACAAAAAAATAAAAAATTGGCTAGATGTAGTGGCATACACCTGTAGTTCCAGCTACTCAGGAGGATGAGGTGGGAGGATCACTTGAGCCTGGGAGGTTGAGGATGTAATGAGCTGTGATCGTGCCACTGTACTGCAGCCTGGGCAATAAAGTGACACTTCATATATATAAAAAAAAGTTACTATTGTCAAAAAACTACATCTTATATCATTAAAATATGTTGAATTGGCACTCTTCAGGAAAGTGGCATAATTTTTTAACTTTTATTTCTGAAGACAGGGTCTTGCTTTGTTGCCCAGGCTGGAATGCAGTGATATGATCATAGCTCACTATAGCTCCAAACTCCTGGGCTTAGGCAATTCACTTGTCTCAGCCTCTTGAGTAGCCAGGACTACAAGCATACACCATTATGCCCAACTAACTAAAATTTTTTGTAGAGATGAGTTCTCACTTTGTTGCCCAGGCTGGTTTCAGACTCCTGGCCTCAAGCGATCCTTCTGCCTTGACCTCCTAAAGAGCTGGGACTACAGATGTAAGCCTGAGGTGTAACTTTTTGAAAAGGAAAATTATTTTGTTATGTACATGCTGACATTTTCTCGGTGGTAATTTTGAATGTTGTAGACTGGAGAGGAACATGAAAAAGAAAATGAAGAATCCACAGGGCAACTAAAAGTGGCTAAAGATGTTGAAAAAGTCATTGGACAAGTGGAAATCTGGGAGGCAGAAACCAAATCTGTTTTGGATCTTCTGAGAGATCAAGTTGATGTGAATACTTCAATGGAAGAATCTTTGAAGGTATGAGTGTAAAGATATTAAGAGGATACTTTATGGTTGTGCATTTATGTTTTAAGATAAATAAAAAGTGTTAAAGTAAGTAGTAATAAGCTTACAGTTTTAATTTTCTTTGTTGGGGGTTTCAAAAATGAGTGGATTTTTATCTCTCGATTATTTGCTGTTATTTTGCTTGAAAGCAGAGGGTAGATTAGGAGACCACTGATAATACCTATGAATGTTAAGCTCTTGGACTTACTATCTTAGCCATAAAGGGGGAGTTAAAATATTGTCTTGCTCTGGAGGACAATGAGGAGATGAGTGAGTTCAATCTCATATAGCTCAGTGCAGAGTGCACATAAGAGATTATACAATCAGGCCAGGCGCCGCGGCTTATGCCTGTAATCCCAGCACTTTGGGAGGCTCAGGTGGGCAGATCACAAGGTCAAGAGATCAAGACCATCCTGGCCAACATGGTGAAACCACGTCTCTACTAAAAATAGAAAAAATTAGCTGGGCATAATGGCACGCACCTGGAGTCCCAGCTACTCGGGAGGCTGAGGCAGGAGAATTGATTTAATTGCTCTTGGGTGATGGAGCCAAGATCGTTGCACTGCACTCCAGCCTGAATAACAGAGCAAGACTCTGTCTCAAAAAAAAAAAAAAAGAGATCATACAATCTATGCTTTGAAAGTTCACCCACTGATTAAGTCACTCTCCTTACTCAGTGCAGGGAGACTGACTCATGTTGTTAGATCTTTGTTCTCTCTGTATCCTCAGGCAGTTGACTCATTGAAAGGCAATGAGGCAAAAGAGTGTTTTAATATAACTTAGTTCTCTTGGGAAAGGAGTTATCATTGAGGTTTTTACTGAGTTCCAGCTCAGCTCTAATACCTACAGAGTATAAGTTACAAGATGGGGAAGTTTCTAGATTAAAAAGGAACATTTACATACTTTTTCTAAGCCTACATTTCTGAAAGGTATATATTTCAGCATTTTGTGTTTTCAGTATTTGGTAGTTTTTATTGCTTTGAAAATATTACATAAATTTATCATGCTATCTCATCTGCCAGTGCTTTTCTGATTTTATTTTTATTATTTATTAATTTATTCTATCTGGAATTTTCTTGGAAAAAATGTAGAAATTCAGTATTTTAAAAATTTTTAAATAATTTAAAAATTATTGTGAAAATGCACACTGAAATATATTTCTATTAAGAAAGAATTAAGTAGATATTGGATCAAAATATTGGATCAAGATACATTCTAAAGTAAGAAATACAAGTTTCTAAACAGTATGGATAATGAGATAATGTGATCTCATTTGTGGTTTTTAAAAGAGTTGTATTTTTATAATGTATTTATATTCGTAGAAAAATATCTGTAAAGATATACCAGTAACTGAGTCTATCTTAATTCCGTATTACTCCCAGCTCCTAGTACATCGTAGACATCTAGTACATCTTTTCTTTCCTTTTTTTTCCTTCCTTTTTGAGATAGGGTGTTGCTTTGTCTGTCACCTAGGCTGGAGTACAGTGGCACAATCATGGCTCCCTTGACCTCCCCAGCTTCAAGTGATCATTCTACTTCAGCCTTCCAAGTAGCCGGGATTACAAGCATGCGCCATCACGCCTAGCTAATTCTTATATTTTTAGTAGAGATAGCGTTTTGCTGCATTGCTCAAGTTGGCCTTTAACTCCTGGGCTCAAGTGATTTGCCAGCTTCAGCCCTGCTAGGTGCTGCGATTGCAGGCGTGAACCACCGTGCCTGACTATACATATTTTCTTTACATGCTGTACCTTTCCTTTTTTTTCCTTCTTCAGTTTTTTAAATTACATGAGCTTTTTTGTTTTATAATTTAAAAGAGGGAAAAATTGAAATGATAACTGAAAGTGCTAGTTTCAGGAAATTAAAATCACTGTAATTCCGCTGCCTTAAGATAAATAAGATCAACATTTACATAGTTGGTACACTATAACTTCTATTTTATCACACCCATGTGTATTAGTCCATTTTCACACTGCTGTTGAAGACACCCGAGACTGGGCAATTTACAAAGGAAAGAGGTTTAGTTGACTTACAGTTCCATGTGACTGGGGAGGCCTCACAGTCATGGCAGAGGGTGAAAGGGATGTCTCACGTGGCAGCAGACAAGAGAAGAGGGCTGTGCAGGGAAGCTCCCCCTTTATGTAATCATTAGATCTGGTGAAACTTATTCACTATCATGAGAACAGCACAAGAAACACCTGCTCCCGCTATTCAGTTACCTCCCACCGGGTCCCTCCCACAACACGTGGGAATTCAAGATGGGATTTGGGTGGGGACACAGCCAAACCATATCACCATGCCATGGTGAGTTGTAATTTAAAAATTATTTTTTGCTGACTTGAGAACTGAAAAGTGGTATCTCCTTATTGTTTTAATGGGTACTTACTTGACTACGTGTATTACTTAACTATCATATATTTATTAGGCATCTATTTCTATGAATTATCTGTTCTTATATTTTCAAAATTTTCTTTGGAGTCTTGGTATTTTTTAAACTGAATTATACAAGCTCATTGAATATTGATCCATTTTCAATTCTGTGTCAAATATTTTTGCTGAGTTGTTGACTTTGTTTATTTTGCATCACAACTTTTTTATATTTATGTAGTCACATCTGTCCCTACGTTTAGGCCTGCAAAGACCCTCTGCAGTGAGATAGGAGATTGGATTTTATTTTATTTTATTTTTGAGACGAAGTCTCGCTCTGTTGCCTAGGCTGGAGTGCAGTGGTGCAATCCTGGCCCACTGCAATCTCTGCCTCCTGGGTTCAAGAGATTCTTCTACCTCAGCTTCCTGAGTAGTCGGGACTACAGGCGCCTGCCACCATGCTTGGCTAATTTTTGTATTTTTAGTAGAGGCCAGGTTTCACCATGTTAGCCAGGCTGGTCTCAAACTCCTGACCTCGAATGATCCACCGATGTCGGCCTCCCAGAGTGCTGGGATTATAGGTGGGAGCCATTGCTGATTTTATTTTATTATTTTTTGTAGTTTTTGAGATGTAGTTTCATACTCTTGTTGCCCAGGCTGGAGTTCATGAGTGTAACCTTGGCTCACTGCAACCTCCGCCTCCTGGGTTCAAGCAATTCTCCTGCCTCAACCTCCCAAGTAACTAGGATTACAGGCGTGCAGCACCATGCCCAGCTAATTTTGTATTTTTAGTAGAGGTGGGGTTTTACCATGTTGGCCAGGCCAGTCTCGAACTCCTGACCTCAGGCGACCTGCTTGCTTCAGCCTTCCAAAATGCTGGCATTACAGGCATTAGTCACTGTGCCTGGCTGCAGATTGGTTCTTATGGATAATGTCTTTCTTTTTGTGGTTGCATATTTCTGACCCATTTGGAGTTTATTTTTGTTACGATATATAAAGATTATTTTCCAATAGCTATTTTATCCAGTAACATTTATTGAATTACCCTCTCCACTAATTTGACATAGAACAAGTTCATTTTAAGGTTTATTACCATTGTCTCAACTTTATTTTGTCATTGCTTTTCTTCTATTATTTATTTCATTGAAGTACTAACTGTATAAAGAATAATCTATAAAACGTGTTCAGAATCTGCTTGTATCAATATGAAATTTCAAATGACTCCTTAAAATATTTTTCAGAATGCAGATTTGCTTGATTTTGGATTAATAATGAACTTATTTGGTTTCCTGATGAGATTTTCTTGATTAATGTTTAACATATAATCAGAATGTTTATTGTGATCTCACTTCAATTTGTTTTAATAGCATCTTATTGCCAAAGGCTCTATGTATGAGGAGCTTCTGGCAAGAACTGAAGATATGTTATACATGGATATACAAAATTTTTCAAGCCAGGAGTCCTTTCAACATGTTCTCACAGCTGGGCTTCAGGCAAAGATTCAAGCAGCTAAAGAGAAAGTCCAGGTATCTCTTTAATTTTCCCTATTTAGTGATTCTGTTCTCTAAAACAGAGGGGTCACTGGGTGGGCAGTGAAGGGGTTGATAGCCCTGTAGCTTGGAAACATTTCATAAAATATTACCTTTGCATTATATTTCTTTATAATTTAGAGCATATTGGGAAAATATAAGTATAATTTAGGTAGCCCTTTGTCTAGTGGGAAAATAACAAATAGTCAAAGTACTTGTTAACTTAAGAATTTATTAAGAATTTGGTCCACGTGTTAATTTGAGAATTTTTTTGTCTTCAAGATCAATGTGGTAAAACTCGTTGCAGCATTGAAGAACTCAACCGACGTTTCACCAGAATTGGACGTCAGGCTGAAGATGGAAGAATCCCAGAAAGAACTTCAATCGTACATGACTAGGGCTCAGCAGTTACTGGGGCAAAGAGAGAGCCCTGGTGGACTCATTTCAAAATACAAGGTGGGAATCTTTTGAACCAGCAAATGTAGGATGTTTATTACTAACTGCCTATCTTGTTTGAAATCAAGATGATTCCTTCACTGTAATTATATACTGAGTTACTGTAACTGAAAAGGATTTCCCAATATTATATATCATTCCCCTGAGGTTATTAAAAATAAGTATTCAAGTATAGAATTTTTTAGTTCAAATTTTATTGTGGATCTGCTGAATGTACTGAGTGCTATGGTGAGAGTGCAGCCGACTCTATGACACTGAACAAGAAATTAATTTCTCTGGCTTTTTAATTTGTAAAATGGCATAATAATTCCATCCCTACCCAGCCGTGAGATTTGTTGTGAGGCTTTAAGTGAAAATAAGGCACATGAAGTTAACTTTGCATAAATTCTCTGAATGTTAAAAATTATTATCATTATTAAAATACTTTGATAAAAGTTATTCATGGAAACATACTTATCTGTAGTTAAAGACCTAATAATGTTGTTTTGTATGGAGACAGTTTCAAGTTGATTTTTATGGTTTGATAGGCTGAGGTTGCAGCTTAAGATGTCACCAAACCAGAAACTGACTCTTAATTAACATAGTGGGAGGTGCTGGGGGGATTAGAAGCAAAACTAAGCAATGCCTCTACCTTGAAACAAATTGGAGGGGTAGAGCAATACCAGTGCTTTTGTTCATTCATATTCAGCATTTAGCATGCTTTACTGCACACTTAAAATGAGCTGGGCATTTGGGGGAAATACAGATGCAGGAAGGCAGTGCCCTGTTCCTGCTCCTACTCTTTAAGAAAGGGTGACCTCTAGGAGCTTCTCCTCATTCTCATCAAGGCCTCTGTCTGTCTTCTGGGCCTCAATCCTATCGTGGCTTTCTGGATTGCTAACCACGCTGGGACCCTGTTGTCAGTCATTTCAGCATTGATTTTCCTATGACCTTATAGCCTTTGTCTGCTTGATCTCACACCATTTGCGCTTTGCTAGCTGCCGCCTTCAACCACTTCCCTCTGTCATTTATTCCCAGGTTCCTGGGAACTTTTACTCTCAGGTTCCTGAAAGTACTAAAGTGTACTTAAGAATGAATCGTTATTTTAAATGATGGTGAGGCTGGGATTTTACGTGGGTAGATATGGTCTGGTCGGGAGAGAAGGAAAAAGATATGTAGAGGTTCCTAGGCTCCTTCTTTTATTTTTATTTTTATTCTCAAAGACAATCTTACGCTGTTAACCAGTTTGGGGTGCAGTCGTGCAATCTCGGCTCACTGCAGCCTCCAACTCCTGGGCTCAAGCTATCCTCCTGACTCAGACTCCAAGTAGATGGGACTACAGGCACACATCACTACACGCAGCTAATTTTTCAAATTTTTTTTAATAGAGAAAGGGCCTCACTCTATTGGCCAGGCTGGTCTCAAACTCCTAGCCTCAAGTGATCCTCCCACCTTGGTTTCCCAAAGTGCTGGGATTACAGGCATGAGACACTATGCCTGGCTTCTTAGCTCCTTTACCACAGAAGGGCTGGAGGTGTCTGTTCTCACACCGTTTTCTTTCCCTGACCTCCTTCCTTTTGGTTTTTCCCCATTTTGCCAATGGCATTTAGTCAAGTGGAGACACTTTTACAGCAGAAGCAAGATCCCTGCCCTGTTAGGTATTGCCCTGAGAGCCCCCAAAACTCCATGCACACAGGGGCAGTGGGAGCTCCCAGCTATGAAGAGCATACAGGGTAAAGGTGTCTACCCAGGCTGTAAATCTCGCAGTCCTCAAAGAGGTCTTGGAGGGGGGCTTGGAGCTCAGCATTGTACCTTACCTGCAGCCGATCCGTAAAAACGTGTAATGAGTGAAAGAGCAAATTCCCACCCTGCTCGGCTTCTCGCTGAGAATGACTTTCATCTTCTCTCTCCTCTAGGTTTTCTGCCTTTTTCACACAAAGGCCCTAGCCTGTTTTGTTGTTGTTGTTGTTCTGTCATCACTAGTTACCTAGGCCAGGTTTTTGCTTCTGTACAGTATGCCAGGTCAGGAGCAGGCACATGCCTGTCAGGGCTGTTTCCACTCTTGTCTACTGCTGGGACTGCCAACACAGGTGGCCCTGGGCAAAACTTTGAAGGTGATGGTGAGACAAATTGGCCTCCTTTCAGCATAACTGCTTATGCATGATAGTAAACATTTGCCATATTAACCTTACTGTAAATTTTGTCTTGGCTGGGCATGGTGGCTGACACCTGTAATCCCAGCATTCTGGGAGACTGAGGTTAGTGGCTCACTTGAGCCCAGGAGTTTGAGGCTGCAGTGAGCTGTGATTGTGCCACTGCACTTCAGCCTAGGTGACAGAGCGAGATTCTATCTCAAAACAAAACAAAACAAAAAACCAAAAACTGATATACTCTTCATATTATATTGCTTCTGTAGTGTGATTGTCTGCTCAATACTGAAGAATTTTAGAGGAAACATAGCCAGTGGCTATTCCCCTGTACAGTGAACTTTATAATTACTTATCAATGGGGTAACAAAAATCATTCTGAATATCATGAAGGTATCTTAATCTGTGCCTCATGTGTAACTACATTTGAATAATAAATATTTGGCACTCTTTTGAAAAGAATTCAAGAGATGCCAAAGGGCTAGCAACCTCAATTTACAAAGAGAAGTCTCCTGTAAATCTTCAGAGAGCCCCTTCCTACTACACCAGTTAAAGACATATCCAAATTAGCTTTGAGGATTTGGCGGTAGAATGAGGTTTTTATGATCTTGTTTTCTTTTTCTTCTTTTTTTTCTCTTTTTTTTTAGGAAGCACTAATAATTTCTAATACAGAAAGTCTGGCGAAGTATTTGAAAGCTGTTGAAGAACTAAAAAATCATGTAACTGAGGACATAAAGATGTCCTTAGAAGAAAAGAGAAGAGATATCTGTGCCACATGGGAGGTGAGAACACGAATATGTACCTGAACTTACGTTCTTTATGTCTGATTCTGGGCTGTCAGTTGCCAGAGCTGTTTCTGGGGTTTCCTCGTCTACACTCTATCAACGATGGGCTGGTCCCTGCAGGCTGCAGTCCCAGGAGTCATACAGAGTTTCCTAGCAGAATAGGTCTAGGCTTTGGTGGCAGACAAACCTGAATTCAGCAGCTGTGACCCTGGGCAAGGTACTTAACTTTTAGGAGCCTCCCTGATAAAAATAGGATAACACCACCTACTGGGCAGAACTGATGCAAGGGTTTATAGAAAGCATCTACCACTGAGATTGTGTTCTGGTAATAATGGCAATTAATATTCAATGTAATATTGAAATGTGTAATTAATATGATAATTAAAATATATGTGCCTGTATATCTTTATCTCTTTTAAGTGGATTGAATATGTACTGTTAAGGATCCTCCTAAAACTAATTTTAAAATAAACTTTTTTACTTTTAGAATAGTTTTAGATTTATAGAGTTACTGTAAAGATGATGCAGAGAGTTCTAGTCATGGCTAGATTCCTCTGTTATCAGCATCTTTTTTGTTGTTGTTGTTGTTTTGAGATGGAGTCTTGCACTGTCACCAAGGCTGGAGTGCAGTGGCATGATCTCTGCTCACTGCAACCTCTGTCTCGCGGGTTCACGCGGTTCTCCTGCCTCAGCCTCCCAAGGATGGGATTACAGGCACACACCACCACACCTGGCTAACTTTTTGCGTTTTTAGTAGAGATAAGGTTTCACTATGTTGTCCAGACTGGTCTTGAACTCCTGACCTGGTGATCCGCCTGCCTCGGCCTCCCAAAGTGCTGTGATTACAGGTGTGAGCCATCGCACCTGATCTTATGCAATTACTGAGTCAATATTAATACATTGTTTTTTTCTAGCAGTTTACCTTGACAGATTGATTCATTATCATTACCTAAAATTTGCACTTTATTCACATTTTCAGTTTTCCCCAGTTGTTCTGTCTGCTCTAGAATCTCATCCAGTATACACATTACATTTACTTGTATCTCCTTGGGCTCAGATATCTGTTTTGCATATGATTTCCCTCAGTCTGTAGCTTGTCTTTTCATTTTCTTAACAGTGTCTTTAACAGCTAAAATACATTTTTAGTTGTTAGAAAAAGAAAACATTTATGGGTCTGGGATGTTTTAAAACATCTCCCCCAAAATATATGGATGAATCAGAATGTCACTTAAGCTTTATTTCTGTCCTTTTGTTACTACACGTGCATTTATTGTTACTGTAAATACTTTTTTGTATATTTTGTTGCCATGGTTAATATATTCCTTTGTTTTTTTTGCAGTCTCTTCATCATGAACTGTCTCTATATGTTCAACAACTAAAAATAGATATTGAAAAAGGAAAACTTAGTGACAATATTTTAAAACTTGAAAAGCAAATAAATAAAGAAAAGAAGCTTATTCGTAGAGGAAGGACCAAGGGTCTCATCAAGGAACATGAGGTACAGTAACGTGTTTCCACTTAAATTTTGTCATGATTTTGGTGTTTATCTGAAATGGCTGTATGTATCTTTAGCCTAGGATGAAATCTGTTCCGAAAATTAGCCCGGCCCTCCTCTCCCCTGGGGATGATCACTTCTGTGCCTGTGCTTCTTACGTTTTAGAAGTGAGAAAATTCGGCACTGAGTTAGTATTTTATGATTTCCCCTGATGTGTCTCAGTGGCCTCTGTCCTCAGACTCTGGTCACAAATGTGTCACCTGTTACTAAAGTACCCACAGTTGCTTTTGTCAGGACACAGTGTCCTCAGAAGCACAGCTTTTGAGAAAATGAGCAAATCAGGGTATAAAGCAGCTGGGGCAAATCTCATGATCTCCTTTTGGTCTCCATCCTATTTGATTGCTTTTATGTATTTGACATTTCTAACCTTATTTTTTTTTTTTTTTCATTTCTTTTTAACTTTCTGCTGCTATGGCTCTCCCACTATCAGTCTCTCTTGCTTTATATAATTATCTATCTATCTATCATCTATCTATCTAGCTAGCTAGCTATCATCTATCTTCCTGATATAGGTATATATAAATAGGTATAGATGTAGATATGTAAATATATAGAGATATATAATTTGCAGTGAGTTCTTTTTAGTGTCTTCACAAATATTCTTTTTTATTCTATTATCTTAATGTTTTGCTTTTGAAGAGGGGTGTCTCTACCTCCACATTTGGCTAGTTTCATGCTTTCCTTAGGCGATTTCATTCACTCTGGGGTTTGGCCTGCCTTCTCTACGATGATAGTGCCTAAATGTTTCTCTCAGCTGAGTCCTTTCACCTAAATTCTATGTTCTATTTCTCACTGACTGGTAGATATCACTAGTGTTTTTCAGAGAACTCAGATTCAGCAAGTTCAAAACGAAACCAGTAATATCTTCTCTCAAAGGTTCGTTTTCTCTTCTGCCTCCTGGTAATGAAAGGCATTGCAGTCTCATGACGCCCTTTCTCTCCTTCCTCCCTTCCTTTTCACTCAGCCTTAATTAAATCGGTTGCCAAGCCCCATCTGGGTTTCTTCGGAACAGCTTCTTCCTTTCCAGTGGTTTTGCCACTTACCTAAGCCAGGGTTCTTTTCTCAGTATGATGATGGTTGCTTCATGTCATCTTCCAAATCACCACCGGAGTTGTCCTTTTGAGCTATAAATCTTACGTTGCCAGTTCCCCATTCCCCCAGGACAATTCCAGACTGCTGCTGCTTTTTTTTTTTTTTTTTCTGAGATGGAGTTTTGCTCTCCTTGCCCAGGCTGGAGTGCAGTGGCACAACCTCAGCTCGCTGCAACCTCTGCCTCCCAGGTTAGAGGTAGCTGGGATTACAGGCATGCACCACCATGCCTGGCTAATTTTGTATTTTCACATTGCAACATAGGGTTTTTCCATGTTGGTCAGGCTGGTCTTGAACTCCCGACCTCGGGTGTTCCACTCATCTCGACCTCCCAAAGTGCTGGGATTATAGGTATGAGCCACCTTGCCTGGCCCAGACCTCTTAGAAGGCCACTTAATTCCTTCCCAGTCTGGCCCAGGAAAGCTCTTTAGCATCCCTCCTTCCTGGGCCAGGCACTCCAGCCCCACTGGAGTACTGGTCCTTTGAGACATCTGGTGCTTTTTGTTACCTTTGTGCTTTTCTGGTGCTTTTTGTCCTCCTGGTGGTCCTTATGCTAGAAATAACCTCTCTCCCCTTTTGCTTGGAGAACTTGTCCTTGTTTCTTCCACGTATAGCTCAGCTGCTTCCCCCTTGAGAGGTAGGCTTCTCTGACTCCTTCAGGCAGGTGGGGCCTATCATAACACTTAGCACACTCTGTGCTGGTTCTTTGTGTGTCTAGGTTACTAAACCGAGAATTCCTTTAGGGCTGACTCCTCTTTTTCTCTCCAGCGCCTATTGTCATAGCACTTAGATGGCCTATATAAGAATGCATTGTGAAAACCACACACATCTGTTAGTTTCTAGTCCTTATGGAATAATCATGTAAACTCATCTGAAGTGCATTTCCTGCTTTATTTCTTCAATTAGGCCTGCTTTTCCGAGGAAGGCTGTCTGTACCAGCTTAATCACCACATGGAAGTCCTGAGGGAGCTGTGTGAAGAGCTGCCTTCACAGAAGAGTCAACAAGAAGTGAAGCGACTACTCAAAGATTATGAACAAAAAATAGAAAGACTTCTGAAATGTGCTTCCGAGATTCATACGACACTGCAGGCCACAGGGGGAGGCACGTCGAGAAATGAGTCAGTACTTTATAAGAATAGCTACCCTTCAGGATTAAACAAAATGAAGCTTTTTGCACGGTCAAATGATATTAAGCGTTATTCATGCTTGTTTAGGTTTCATTTTCCTTACTCTCTTTTAAACATGCAATTTTGATTCCTTTCTAGGGGGACCATCACCACATCCGAGAATAGAGGAGGGGATTCCCACAGTGAGGTACTATTTGCAAAATCAGATAATCAGCCATCAGCTGAAAAGGTGTTAAATGTGGATAATGTATTTTAGAAGTAAACCCAATGTAAAAGACCAAGTCTACAACAATTTACTTCTCAATTAATTAGGTGTTGGTTTTAATTATCTGATTGTCTTTATCAGTGGAGAATTTCCACTTACACAAAGCAAAAGACTGATTTTCAAATGAGAATGCAAGCAACCAAAGCAATAGTGAGCATAACCTAATCTTCCTCTGAGTATACAAGTAGTTCTTTTAAGCAGAGACCCTTTTGAACCATTATGAATACCAATTGTCTGTGTACATTGTTACTGGGAGTAGAAGACGTTGCGCTTGATTGGGACAGATGCTTCCATTTCATTGGGATGAACAAGTTCATTTATCATTTGCCTTTTCTTTTTCTGCATTATAATGCATTTCATTTTCTGTGGGAATTGAATATTCTAAATTCCTGAAGTCTAGATAATTTGGCATTTACTATATATTATAGTCCAGACTGCCACTCAGAACGTGTGGGGGAAGGAACGAGGTGCGGTATATCTGGTTTTAGAGGTCGGCTCCTGCATGTTTGCTTTCTGTCTGCTTTTCACTATGGGTATGTAGTCTCAGGCAGAAATAGCATTTTGGGGCTGGGAGTCTTCTTTTACCATGCTGACATACCAATTAGAAGGTGAGAATCAGTCTAATAAATCTCTATCCTACGAGAAGGCTTTTCTCTGAGATATCTCAAAGAAATTGTATTATCTTCTGGTTTAGGGTATAAAGATTCAATGATATATTTTTGAGCATAAAGCATCTCTCTTTTCCAGATAATTAAATATGTCTAAGATATTACATTTGCTATTTTGCATATTCTCGTAGGCAATCGAACCTGTTATGAATTTTAGCCTGGCATCAGAGTTAAAGCCTCCGCAAGAAGAAAGCATTATGGAAAAGGATTACAGTGCATCTATAAATAGTTTACTAGAGAGGTAAACTCTTTTTAAACAACTGGATAATCCACCAAATATCTTTCATCAGTGCAAACATGTTGTACTTTTTAAAAGTTTTATTTTCATTTAGTCATCATTTTGCATGTGGTCCAGTAACTTAAACAGAAATTCCACGGTATTTCCTCACACACAGTTGACAGTAATTTAAAAATATTTCTTTGTGTTGTTTTATTTTTCTTTATTTTTTTGTTTATCTTTTGTTATTTTATTTTTATTTTTTTGAGATAGAGTCTTGTTCTGTCGCCCAGGCTGGAGTGCAGTGGCACGATCTCGTCTCACTGCAACCTCAGCCTCCCGGGTTCAAGTGATTTTCCTGCCTCAGCCTCCTGAGTAGCTGGGATTACAAGTGCCTGCCACCACGCCCAGCTAATTTTTTGTAGTTTTAGTAGAGACAGGGTTTTGCCATGTTGGCCATGCTTGTCTCAAATTCCTGACCTAAGGTCATCCACCGGCCTTGGCCTCCCAAAGGCTTATCGGTGCAAGCTGCAGGATTACAGGTACAAGCCACTACACTCGGCCTGTGTTATTTTAAAAATTAACTACTGTGATGTTGCATTTTATTTTGCCCAGGTATGATACATACAGAGATCATCTTGAACACCACCTGCAAAACGGCGAATTCACGGTTACTTCTGATTTCGCTAGTGAAGAGGACAGGAGTAGTTCTTGTCTGCAGGCTAAACTGACAGATCTACAGGTAATTACCAAAAATTTTATTTTTCTGGTTACCTTGTTTGTTAGAAAATAGTACCACTGTGAGTCTAGACGTCCGGTTTCTGTTGAGGTCACATCTGCTCAATGTTTCCAAGGAACTCTCTTTGTTGGATTGCATTTCTAATGTCACCCTATTCCAGAAAGGGATTTTCTTTCAAGTACCAACCCCAGGAAAAGCTTTAGTTTAGGCCGGGCGCGGTGGCTCAAGCCTGTAATCCCAGCACTTTGGGAGGCCGAGGTGGGTGGATCACGAGGTCAAGAGATCGAGACCATCCTGGTCAACATGGTGAAACTCCGTCTCTACTAAAAATACAAAAAATTAGCTGGGCATGGTGGTGCGTGCCTGTAATCCCAGCTACTCAGGAGGCTGAGGCAGGAGAATTGCCTGAACCCAGGAGGCGGAGGTTGCAGTGAGCCGAGATCGCGCCATTGCACTCCAGCCTGGGTAACATGAGTGAAACTCCGTCTCAAAAAAAAAAAAAAAAAACTTTAGTTTAAGGTCTTAATTTACTACTTATATTCTAATCTGGTGATCCAGATAATGTGACTTGAAGTTTTTGTTTATTTATTTCTTTTTGTGCTTCGGGCTTCAAGGGAATTGGTCAAAAACAATGTGTTTGAAGGGAATTTCGTCCTGCTCTTGGGCTGCTCCAAAGTTAACTAGCCAGTGAATGTTTAGTTCAGTCCTTCATCATCTTTACCAAATTATCACATTGTTTAAAATTTGCTATACAGTGACTGTTGACTGTCTGATATCGTGAGTTTAGGGGCAGGCGGTGGAGGGAGTTTTCACTCTAAATGATGGATTCTTCTCCTAAAAAACCTTCAGAGGAAGTTATTGCAGTTGACTAAGAAACAACAGGAAAAGCAGTCTATTAGTGGTTGACACACAAATCACAACCTCTACAAATAATATCTTCCTTATTTTGAAGGCGATCTGTGCATTGCAGTGCCTTACTCTTGATGCATGTCCTGAGTGCGTTAGAGGGAATGCCCACAATGGAGGACCATGGGTAGTTCCTACAACATGCTTCCGTATTTTCTAGTTTCTTTTATTTAATTATACCAGGTTTCAGTCACATTCTACCATCTGGCTGCTCTCTGTTTTTCATCTGAGTAAGCAAAATGTATATGTTAAAATCCCTGTTGCTCAAGTGATGGATTTAGCATGTTTTCATCACAATTAAGAAACTGTCTTGAGACTCTTCCCCAGTGACTGAATAATGAGTTGGTTAGAAAAACTGTACTAATATTTGGATAAAGTGAAGAACAAATTATACTGCTGATTGCCGATCCCTCAGCAGCATTGTAGAGCAGTGCCTTACCAACAAAACAGAAATCAAGATAAGGAGCTGGAATAGTATAGAGTTGTAGATGATAAGTATAAACCATAAATTAATTTAATTTACTTCTTATTCATATAGAAAGTTTTGGTTCACTCCATTTTTCTTTCACTTTAGAAAGTAGCAAATCTTTCCTATGTAGAGAAAACAGAGTATCTGTTCTTACATGTTTCTGTATGTTTCTGAACTGTATTCTGTGTAATTACCTTAGGGGAAGGGAGTTTTTTGGGGTATCTTTGAAAGCTTTGTTGTTTACTCCCTTGACTTCATTGAATGGGTCCTCTGTGAGCACAGTGATTGTCATTGTTCCCTAAAGGAGAGTTCACTTGTAGATGGTTGGAAAATATTTTTAAACACAATTCCATGGGAAACATTGTGTTTGCTTCCACAGTTGGTGAATGTCTCATGTTTTAAGAACAGAATAATTGTGCCTATTAACCCCATTAGTTGATAAATTAATTAATGTGTTCCATCTAGGTCATAAAAAATGAAACTGATGCTTGCTGGAAAGAGTTTGAAATTATTTCACTGAAGTTAGAAAATCTTGCGAATGACATAAAGAAGCCTTTTATAGTTAAGGAAAGAGACAGACTAAAGGAAAGAGAACAAGAGCTTCAGATGACTCTTAATACGAGGTAAGATTCTGAGATCTATTAACTATGAATCTACTAAACTCACTAAATTCTATAATGCCGTTTTAAGCAAGACTGTTGCTATACTAAGTATGTTATTTTATCTGGATGTCACAACAACTGTAAGAGAGGCTACCATTATGATTGTATTTTTACCAGTAAGGAAACTGATAGGTTAAATATTAATAATATAACCAGGCCACTCTGCTAGCTGGAGACTTAGTGGAACTTAAGGTCTGCCAAGGGTTAGAGGCTATGGTCTTTCCACTGTCTCTTTTGGGCATGAATTTGTCTAACTCACATAAACTCTCTGGGTATTGATTTCTTCACTTCTGAAATGAGAGTGCTATTAGGACCTTATATACATAGGGTATGTATCCCCAGCATGTATTCTCATGTTATATAGGAAAAAACTGAGGCTCAGAGTCTATGTATTACTTAACTATGCTCACACATATCAATTGATTATCAGCAGAGCCTATTCTTTGAACCCCATTATATTCGTAATATGGAAATATAACAAATTATTCCATAATTAAAATAATTATGAAATTTCTTAATTGTCAAGGTGAAGTTAAGTAACAATTCAGTTTTTATTTCAAAAGAGAGAGAAAGACTTCGTGTGTTTTACAATTTTTCATCCAGTGTGGTATATATTACATTGCTAAGATTACTTTGGAGCCAGGAACAGTACCTCTTTCCCATAATCCCAGCACTTTGGGAGGCCAAGGCAGGTGGATCACTTGAGGTCAGGAGTTCAAGACCAGCCTAGCCAACATGATGAAACTTTGTCTCTACTAAAAATACAAAAAAAAAAAAAAAAAAAAAGAATACTTGGATATCGGGAAGCGTTTTAGAGTGAAAAAAGAAATCATTAATCATACCAAAACAGTTGGAGTTGTCTGGGCCAGTGGGTCATGGTTAACCTAGCTCTGCTGCCTGTCACTAAATAAATATTTGTTGATTGAATGAATAAATGGATAGAGAGATTAACAAAAAAAAGAATACTTGGATATAGCAACCAATTAATTCTTTGGCATTTTAGATCGATGGGTTTAGCTATTAATGTGATAATGTGTATGTATCATTCTATGTCTATTGGATGATTATTTTCTGTTCTTAGTTCAGTAATTATGTTGATCTTCCTGCTGGATTTTCCTTTCATGTCTGATTTACTTTGTGCCCAGAATGCAATCTTTAGAGACAGCACGGCAGCTTGTGTTACCTGTAGAGAAGGCGTCACTCCTTCTCTGTGGCTCGGACCTGCCTCTCCATAAAATGGCTATCCAGGAATTTGGTCTTATTAATGCTGATGGCATTTATCAACACCTGAGGGTAAATATATAAGTTCTCACAGTGTATTTACAGAATAATCAAGCCTTCTGAGATTTATAAATCCTTACAGATTTTTAATTATTCATCATAGCATAAATTAAGAGTATAAGACATGACAATTTTTTTCAGTAATTTAGACTTGTTTTTTATTTCTTGACTCTTTAATTCTTTGCAAATTTGGAGGTAGGTACTGTGGAGTATATAATGACGTATTTTCTTTGAATTCAAAAGGAAGTCTTCTTTATGAATGCCTTCTTCAATGACTGAATTCCTAAATATCATACTAGACTCATACTTAAGTACCATATTCTATTGTTTTCATATTCCAAATCCCATCTTAAATAAAAATATTTTTCAGATTATAAAATTGATCTCTGAACAGTTTAATATCTAATTATTTGTTTTGAAGTCATAGATTTATGTGCTTGTTTTCTTTTTGGGATTGAAACATCAGCTGGGACAGCTGATCATTTGTAATTAAAATGTTTCCTTAGGTAGAAACTGCCACTTTTTGTTGAACTCAGAAGCATTTTTCTAGATCAAATCTAGTCATGCAGTTTGGGGCTGGTTTCTCACACATAGTCTTTCTTTTTTCCACCTCAGTTTTTCAGCTTTTTTAATCTTTATTTTAGAAAATCCAAGATTCTATAGCAAAACAGATTGAAACATGTAACCGCTTAGAAAAACCGGGCAACTTTATATTGAAGGAGTTACATCCATGTGATCGACATGCAATGCAGAATGTTATACTGAAATACAAAACACAATTTGAAGAAATGAATCACAGGGTGCAGAGGAGTGAAGATACTCTAAGAGCTCTGGAAGGCTTTTTGGAATCTCTCAAAACAGCTAAACTCTCTGCTGAGCCTGTTGTAGACCTTTCAGCCTCAGACACACAAGTGGCACAAGAGAATACTTTGACAGTAAAAAATACAGAGAGAGACATTCATCTGATGAAAGACAAGGCCAAACATTTGGATAAGCGTTTGAAGATGCTTGATATGAGCTTTAAAGATGCTGAACAGGGTGAAGACACCTCCTGTGAAAACCTTGTTGATGCTTTATCAGTAAAGTTATCTGAGACACATGGCTATGGGGTACAGGAGGAATTCACTGAGGAAAACACATTACTAGAGGCTTGTATTTTCAAAAATAATGAACTCCTTAAAAATATTGAAGATGTACAGAGTCAAATCAGCAAAATTGGTCTTAAGGATCCTACTGTCCCTGCTGTGAAACATCGGTAGGTATTGTCCATCCATTTCCATCCAAGGTGACCGGCACTTTTTTTCTATCACCTCTATTCCTGTGTCTTTCTGCTTCTGTTCCATCCCACTCTATTCAGTGTTCAGCACTCTTTTCTATAGACGTTTCAAGCAAGCTTCCTTTTTGTTGATACTGTACCTGTGCAAAATGTTGCATAATTTTTTTTCCCTCTTTAAAAGTATATCTTCTTATGGACAAAGGAGTGGTGAAGTCAGATATGTGTTAAGTACTGTACATGAGTTACTTCTGATTCCCTTGTACTTTTGTGTGTTTACTGTGGCGTTCTCCTAGGGATGGATGACTGCCAGACTCCACGCATGTGATATTAATGAAACCAGGGGTGGAAGATGCATGCGCCCCATCTTGTCCCTGCTTCTTCCTTAGTTATTTGATCTCTTCCTCCTCTCAGCAGGGTTAGGGTGGGAACTGAGTGGAAGGGCAGGAGACTGAATTTAAGAGGCGATCTAAAGTGAGTGTTGATTCTGGAGGCGAAGTAGAGATGCAGTAGACTGAGGTCAGCAGCCTTCTGTATACCTGCTGCCGTTTTAATTTCATCATTTGGAATAGGGCCTTCAAATTCCAAAAGCTAAAATGTTAGCAAGAGTTGCGTTTGTGGAATTCTTTCCCCCCTTTCCTCTTTTTTTTTTTCTTTTTTTTTTGAGATAGAGTCTCACTCTGTTGCTCAGGCTGGAGTACAGTGGCATGATCTTGGCTCACTGCAACTTCCGCCTGGTTCAAGCGATCCTCCTGCCTCAGCCCCCAGTAGCTGGGGTTACAGGCACACGCTAAGATGCCTGGCTAATTTTTGTATTTTTGGTAAAGATAGCGTTTTGCCATGTTGGCCAACCTGGTCTCGAACTCCTAACCTTAGGTGATCCACCCACCTCGATCTCCCAACGTGCTGGGACTATAGGCATGAGCCACCGTGCCTGGCACCTTGCCTGCTTTCTAAATCTCTCTCGCTTTCTGTCTCCTTCTCTGCCCACCTCTAGTTCCTCAGGCTCAGTGGTCTCTCGAGGATCTTTAGATGACTAAACCCTCTATGTAGTCAAGTGTGATTTTCCTTCTGAAATGTCCCACACCCTCAGGCCCAATGAGACTTTCATTTCTAGGGTGTCCTGCCTCTGCACGTGATTGCATCACTGCCCTCCAGCCTGGGCAACAGAGCAGACTCTGTCTCAAAGAAAAGAAAGAGAAAAAGAAAAAGAAATTCTAAGTAAGGAAGGAAGAGGGGGTTTCTCTTGAATAGGATCATCAGGGAAGGTCTTTCTGAGAAGGTGGCCTTGGCATCAGATGAGAGGCAAGAGCAAGCCACTTGAACCTGGAGTAAGAGCCTTCTAGGCAGAGGGAGCAGTAGGTACAAATGTCAGGTGTGTTTGAGGAAAGGGAAGGAGGTGAGAAGGTGCAGCAGTGAGGGGGAGATGTGGCTTCTTAGCTCATGCCATAACTTGTAGGCTGTTTAATGACTTTGGCTTGTTCTTTGAGTGACATGGGAAGTCACTGCAGGGTTCTAAGCCGAGGGAAATGTCTTGGTTTTCATCATAACTTGTCCTCACTGGCTGATGTGTTGGAAATAGACTATAGGAGTTGAGAGAAGATATTGGAAGTCTGGTTTGACCTATTGCAGGAATCCCTAGTAGGGATGAAGCTGGCATGGACCAGTGGTGATGTGGTAGAAAGTGTTGAGATTCAGTGTATAGTTTGAAGATGGAGACCGGATGATTTGTTGGCACATGGACATGGTGTGGAAAAGAGATACTGGGGTCAAGAATGATTCCAAGCATTGGAACCTTCCTCTAGGCTCAGGTGTTCTTTCCCCCCACTGTCCATTGTGTCAACGGTAACTTGAGAAGTGAGTAAGAACTGATTTACCATTGATAGAGATGAAAAAGACTAAAGTTGGCTGGGCGTGGTGGCTCACGCCTGTAATCCCAGCACTTTGGGAGGCTGAGGCAGGCAGATAACCTGAGGTCAGGAGTTAGATCAGCCTGACCAACATGGAGAAACCCTGTCTCTACTAAAAATACAAAATTAGCTGGCGTGGTGGTGTGTGCCTGGAATCCCAGCTACTTGGGACAGGAGAATCGCTTGAACCTGGGAGGCGGAGGCTGTGGTGAGCCGAGATGATGCCATTGCACTCCACCCTGGGCAACAAAAGCAAAACTCGATCTAAAAAAAAAAGAAAAAAAAAAAAAAAAAGAAAAAAAAAACAATTAGTCTTGGATGAAAGTTACTGGTATTGAATGAAAGATTGGGTATGCTCAATTTTAGAAATGATATGTTCAAGATACTTATTAGACATTCAAGCAGCAATATCAATAAGACACTTAAAAATAGATGGCATTAGGAATCAGGACAGACAGACGTCTGGGCCAGAGGTATATATTTGAGAGTTCTCATCATTTTACAAGACTGGATGAAATTTCCGAGGGAGTGAGTTTAGATAAACAAGAGAAGAGGTCCAAGTTGGATTCATATCTGGGGCACTCTGTATTGAGAGATCAGGGAGATGAGAGGGAACCAGCTGAAGACATTGAGAAGGGGTACGCAAGTGCAGTAGGAAGAAAATGAAGACTTCTGGGGCTACCAGAAGAAGGCATCTCAACCAGGAGGATGTGATCAAGTGTCAAATGCTGCTGACCAGTGAAGCAAGGTGAAATTGAGAATGGAACAGGGATATCGCAGTGTGGAGGCCAGCTGTTTCAGCAGGCAGTAGGGAAGAAAGCCTTATGGGAGTTAATGGAAGAGGAAATTGGAGGCAAGGAAGTAGAGGCTGTGAGCAGTTTAGCAATTTAGATTTAGGTGAATGGTATGAATCCCTCCAGGATGACTTTACCCTTAGTTAAATAACTCCTTTTTGAAAGGGAGAAGTGCAAGATAGAGAGAAGTACATAAGGGAGAAGTGCAAGAATTCCCTTGCTTTTTCCTTCCTCCTTGGCCGCCCCATCATTCCTTAGGCGTCCTGCAGTTCTGGGTCATCCATCTTCTCTGCTTCTCCCATATCATGCTGCCTTTCCTCGACATATGCACATATACGTGCTTTTTCTCTCTCTCTTTTCTCTCATGTGCATATACACCTTTTACAAGTGTGTTCATTACAGAAATATATTACTGCTAATGTTTTGTATATTTATTATATTTATTAAAAGTACCAAATTAATATTCTGGAAATGCAGCCAGGCGTGGTAGCTCACACCTGTAATCCCAGCACTTTGGGAAGCTGAGCCAGGAAGATCACTTGAGTCTAGGAGTTTGAGACAAGCCCGGGCAACATAGTGAGATCCCATCTCTACGAAAAATAAAAAATTAGCAGGCGTGGTGGTGTGCACATGTGTACTAGCTATTCGAGAGACTGAGGTGGGAGGATCACTTGAACCTGAGAGGTTGAGGCTGCAGTGAGCTGAGATTGCACCACTGCATTCGACCTAGGTGACAGAGTGAGACCCTGTCTCAAAACAAAACAAACATCAGAAAAATTCTGGAAATGCAAAAAGCGTCCTGAACTCTGTAACAGAAACGTGTAATTTTGGCGTTAACCTCGTCAGGACAAATTGAAGTTAGCATGCCTCCCCAAGAGATCCATATTTGTGTTGAATCAGTGGTTGACATTTGGCTATCAAACTTTTTTCTCATTCATAATCAAGGAAAAAATCTTTAATCAGACTGGATAAGGATCTAGATGAATATGAAGAAGAGAAGAAACATTTACAAGAAATGGCTAATTCTCTTCCACACTGCAAAGACGGCAGAGAAAAAGCTGTGAGTCAGCAGTGCCAAAATACCATACTCTTGTGGGAGAATACCAAAGCTTTCATCACTGAATGGTAAGGAGAAAAAATCCCTCTTGAATCTGAAAAATTGTCTGTAGCACAATTAACTTTTTCAAACTTCTGGGTTGAAAACACATCCCCATGGACCTGAAGGAAGGGCAGTCATAAGGATTTCCCACCAGAGCCCACAGGGCCAGTGTTTGGGACAAGACCTAGAATTGTAGATTGTAGCCAGAATGCAGCAAAGAGGATCTCCATGAAGCATAACACACACACAGTACGGTACGTTTATGCTCATTACCATCCCACCTGTGTTAGCTTCCTGTTGCTGTAAATCACCAAGCAAATCACGAACTTAATGGCTTAGAAAGAACACAGATGTATTACCTTATGATTCTGGAGGTCAGAAGTGGTAAAATAGGCTGCACAAAGTGGCTCACACCTGCAATCCCAGCACTTTGTGAAGTTGAAGAAAGAAGATTGCTTGAGCCTAGGTGTTTAAGACCAGCCTGGCCAACATGGCAAAACCCCATCTCTACAAAATATAAAAAAATTGGCCAGGCACCGTGGCTCACACCTGTAATCCCAACACTTTGGGAGGTCAGGGTGGATGGTGGATGAACTGAGGTCAGGAGTTTGAGACCAGCCTGGCCAATGTGGCGAAACCCCATGTCTAAAAAATTAACTTGCATGCTGGTGTGCACCTGTAGTCCCAACTACTCAGGAGGCTGAGGCAGGAAGATTGCTTGAGCCTGGGAGATTGAGGTTTCAGTAAACTGAGATAGCACCACTGTACTTCAGAATGAGACCCTGTCTCAAAAGAAAAAAAAAAAACCCCTAAAATCAAGCTGTGTTCCTTCTGGAGGCTCTAGCAAGATTCATTTCCTTGCCTTTTCCATATTCTAGAGGCCTCCTGCTACATTCCTTGGCCTGCGTGCCCCTCCTCCATCTTTAAAGCCAGCAGTGTAGGGCCTTCAGATCTCTCCTTGCCCTCCATTCTGTCATCACTTCTCCTTTGACACCTCTCCCTGCCTCCCTCTCACAAGGACCCTTATGATTACACCAGGCCCACACGGGCAATCCTGGATAATCTCTGTATTTTAAGATACTTAGCTTAATCACCCCTGCAAAGTCCCTTTTGCCTTGTAAGGTAACCTGTAAGGTAACATTCACAAGATCCAGGGATTAGGCCGAGGACCTGTTTCAGGAATTGGGAGCATTACTTTATCACACATGCTTGAATGGGAGATGTTGTCTGTCAATAACTGCTCTGTTCCCTGGAGAATCGGGGCCGATTGCTAAAATTTTTGCAACTGTGAAGTCTATTACCTGTTAATCCCAGCTGTCAATTCTTTTTTTTTTTTTTTTTTTTAATATGTGTTATTATTTATTAACTTGCCAGACTGCTTTGGAGAGATTCAGTGTTTTTTGAATATGATTGCTTGTGTGTCCACTTGTCCATTCCATGGAATATCCTCTGTCCATACTTTCTCCCTCTTACTATCTACAAGAGGGTGGAGAGTGGTGGGAGGGCTGGTCCATAGAGGCTGAACCGCCGAGGCCAAGGATTCCAGTAGGGTTAGGCAGTGAGGGGTATTGTAGGGAGTGTAGAGGGCAAGAAGAGAGTCCAGGGTGGTCTCACCATCCCACTTTGCTTTCACATGTGGTTCTGCCACCACCTGACAGCACCCTCCTGTGTGGCTCGGGGCATCTCCCCTGCTTTCTTCTCGGGGCTGGGTGGTATAACCTATTTGTGGGAGTTAATCCCTGTGTGTCTCTGCCTCCCTGGCAGCCTCCCCTGATTCTCTTCTCAGAGGTCTGTTCAGCACCCTCTCTTCAGAATTCCATTTGCATACACCTCCTGTTTCCTACCAGAACCTGAGTGTACAGGAGTCAAGATGAAGCCTGAATGTGGTATTTGATCTAGTCTACCCTCTGATTTTACTGGAGAAAGAACTGAGATTCAAAGAGGCTGAAGTAACTTATCCAGAGTCTCAGACTAAGCAGTGCCCAGCTGTACTTGAAACCAGGTGTCCTAACTGCCACATTGTCCCACTACCTTATTTTTAAAAAAAGGCTGGCCGGGCGCGGTGGCTCACGCCTGTAATCCCAGCACTTTGGGAGGCCGAGGCGGGTGGATCACGAGGTCAAGAGATCGAGACCATCCTGGTCAACATGGCGAAACCCCGTCTCTACTAAAAATACAAAACATTAGCTGGGCATGGTGGCACGTGCCTGTAATCCCAGCTACTCAGGAGGTTGAGGCAGGAGAATTGCCTGAACCAGGAGGCGGAGGTTGCATTGAGCTGAGATAGCGCCATTGCACTCCAGCCTGGGTAACAAGAGCGAAACTCTGTCTCAAAAAAATAAATAAATAAATAAATAAATAAATAAATAAATAAATAAATAAAAACTAAATCCAGAATGAATAGAATAGATACATAAAAGGCTGGGCGCAGTGGCTCACACCTATAATCCTAGCACTTTGAGAGGCCAAGGCAGGTGGATCACCTGAGGTCAAGAGTTACAAGACCAGCTTGGCCAACATGATGAAACCCTGTCTCTACTAAAAATACAAAAATTAGTCAGGCATGGTGGCACATGCCTGTAATCCCAACTACTTGGAGGCTGACACAGGAGAATTGCTTGAATCTGGGAGGTGGAGGTTGCAGTAAGCCGAGATCACACCACTGCACTGTAGCCTAGGTGACAGGGCGAGACTCTTGTCTTAAAAAAAAAAAAAAGATATATAAACAACCTGTGACTTGCTGAATTAATGCTGTAATAATCTGCCAGAGTTATGCTAAGAAGCCCTGTTTTCCAAGATGTCTTCTGGTGAGTGATGAAATTGAGATGCTGATTCCTTAGGGTAATGAATCCTGTGTTTGTTTCTAGACCTGACATCTGGTAACTTTCTAATGTTTACCTAGCAACAGTACTAATCCAGCGATTATGCTATCTCTTTGCCAGATACGTTGATGTGCCATCATTCTTAGGTTAAATTGGTAAAAAAAAAATTAAGAAACACATCAAAGGAAAAGTTCTTTACAACTTATTCATCATTTATGTGGGATACTTGCAAAGAGAATGGTTTCGCTATTTTTGGACATTTAGCTTTGTGTATTTTTCTATTCATAGTCTTGAACAATGTGGAAGAGTTTTGGAGCTCTTAAAACAATACCAGAATTTTAAAGCCATCTTGACAACTTTGATTCAAAAAGAAGAGAGTGTCATCTCCCTGCAGGCTTCGTACATGGGAAAGGAGAACCTGAAGAAAAGGATAGCAGAGGTGAGTCCAGGTTCCGTAAGAAAAGGCGGTACAGTGACCTCACTGACAGGCCTGGTAGTGAAGAGATACTGTAGATTAAGTCTGTTTTGAAACTTTGTTTAAAAGAAGTTCCTAGTGACTCTGTTTTACCAGGTATCTGAAAATTTATTGAATTTATCACCAGGGTTGAAAAAAAGAAACAGTCCCCAAGTTGATGGTGGGTCACTTCTGATTGGGTTTTGATGATGGGGCCATTTTTGCTGGAGCCCGAGTCACCCCTTCTGCTACTTCTGTGAGATTGTAACAGCCTTTGCACTGACTTTCTGTTTACAAGGAACCTGACCCTTCATTGCAGGCCTGACAGAAGGAAGATGGTGGGAAAATCCCTGCCGTTGTTAGTGGAGTAAGGAAAAATGACACTTTTATTTACTCGTTTTCTGTGAAGATATGCAAGCTTATCACCACATTGCTCCATCTATGTTTGTATTCTAAGAAAAGTAATATTTTTGGACACTAGATGTCATTATTTTCTATGGTTTTATGTGGTTATCAACCAGAGTGGCAGAAGAATTGGATAGTTAGAAAAGAATATACTACACTATATGACTACACCAGACAGTTACTTTTTCTACTTATTTATTTATTTTTTTAGCAGTTCTTCTGCCTCAGCCTCCCAAGTAGCTGGGATTACAGGTGTGTACCACCATGCCCAGCTAATTTTAGTAGAGACAGCGTTTCACCATATTGGCCAGGTTGGCCTCAAACTCCTGACCTTAGGTGATCTGCTCTCCTTGTCTTCCCAAGATGCTGGGATTACAGGCCTGAGTCACGGCACCCAGCCTTTTTCTATTGGTTTTATAAGTACTAAGCTAAAGTGCCGTCAAGATGTGAAAACTATGTGAAAGGTAGTTTGCTTGATATACTCGGAGGTTGGAAAGCAATTGTATTAAACTTTCCAGTAGCTAAGAGCAGCATCAGTGAAAGCTTAAATAGGACAGTGGTTAGTCCTTATCTAGAACTATTGACCCTGAAGCTCAAGTGACACCAAGAGTGTCAGGAATGGCCCTTGTCTGGGACCCACTTTCTCAGACTTAGCTTCTTAGAGCTGACCAGTTGGAAGGAGCCCTATTTAGATACCAGCTGCACAATATGCAACTATGTAGCTGGTTTTTGTTGCACTTAATCAAAGCTGTCAAGACCCTGAGCAAATAGAATTGCTTAGAATGTAACCTGTCTGGTTCCCTCCAGTGGAGGCAGCTTTTGGGTTTGGCTGGTCTCGGGATCTAGGAGAGTCCTGTCTTCATTCAGTAGATTTCAGGAGCTCTGGTTTCCTAGATACTTAGAGAATCCAGCATGTTCAGCCTTACCAGATCCTCTTGGGCTCGTGTTCTAGTTCGCATAGTTACCCTTCTGCCGTGTCCGTGATAGCAGTCTCCTACCTTGTACTCTTATTTTAGGATCAAGGTCTCTGCCTTATCCAACAGACCCTGAGACCCTGCCTTGTATGCTGACCAGATATCTAGTTCTACTTGACTTGCAGCTTTTCTTTTCTTTTTTTTTTTGAGATGGAATCTCACACTGTTGCCGGGGCTGGAGAGCAATGGCGCGATCTTGGCTCACTGCCACCTTCGCCTCCTGGGCCCATGAGATTCTCCTGCCTCAGCCTCCTGAGTAGCTGGAATTACAGGTGCACACCGTCACAGCCGGCTAATTTTTTGCATTTTTAGTAGAGGCGGGGTTTCATTATGTTGGCCAGACTGGTCTTGAACTCCTCGTCATCTGCCTGCCTCGGCCTCCCAAAGTGCTGGGATTATAGGCGTGAGTCATCCCACCCGGCCGCAGCTTTTCTTGTTCCTGCAAATCCTCCTCAATTCTGGCGCCCTACCTTAGCCGTGTTAAGTGGGATCCTCTGACCAGTGGAAAGGATTCCTTTTGATCTGGTGAGGTTGCATCTGTAAAGCATCATCAGACGTACCTAGGTCTTGATGAGTGTTGGTTATGGTGCCCCATGCTGTGCGTGGCCTGTCTGCTGCTCTTCCCACTACCCCATAACTGTACAACCTTATAACTATAAACCGTAGTTTCTAGATCAGTTATTTATCTGACTAATAAACTTCTTGTCACCTCCAGGGAGCTGACTCCTCTCCTGGGTGAGTCTCCCTAATCGGAATCTAGGCCCAGGTCTTGGCCTTTCTGCCATCATTAGCTCCTCTGTGGCTATCACAACAGGATCTCATCTCTGTCCTCAGCTGTATTTGGCAGCCCCAAGTCCAGAGCCTCCCTAGAAAGTTAATCTCTGTCGGTATGGAGAGAAGCCATCCAACCAGGTGAAGGAGGGCCTGACAGTCTACATGTGTTTCTCTTAAAAAATGTCATCCAGTTGGCTGGGTGTGATGGCTCACGCTTGTAATCCAAGCACTTTGGAGGCCAAGGCGGGTGGATCACCTGAGGTCGGGAGTTCAAGACCAGCCTGAACAACATGATGAAACCCCGTTTTTAAAAAAAAAAAAAAAAGAAAAAAAAAAGTCATCCAGTCTTCCTGTTTGTGGTTGACCTTAATGAGAAGTTATTAAGTCATTTGTAGCCTTTTGAGATTCTATGACACAAATGGCCTTGCTTCTTCTTACTGGCTTCTCTGCACCCTCCCCACTACCCCATCTCCTTCTAGACTAAGGTTTCAGCTTTAGTTTGTTGAATCAGTTACCATTCATTCTTCATCTTTACAGCTTCCCAACTTCTGCTTTTCCACCTGAGAGTATTCTTATCCTCTGTTCTCTCTGTGCTTGTTGGTTTGCTCCATTTTCAGTTCTTTTCTGTTATTAAAGTAGCATGTGGGGAGAAAACAGACAAACATGGATATTTAATCCACCATGTTAAACTTGTTATTTCAGTGTTTCGCTTACTGCGTAAAACTGCCTGTCCTGAAGACATATTTGAAGTGTGTATATAGCAGAATAAAAATTAACTCTGCTTTGTCTGTACTCCTTACCCAACTGCAAAAGGTATTTTTAAAATTAATGAAATAATTATAACTACCTTTAAGAAACAACAGGCCTGGCTTTCCTTATTTTATTAAAATGAAAATTCTACATCTAGTACACGGGTACTTTATACATTTGCTGAAATAATCTATTATTTTGTATAAAAGATATAGAAGTTTTAATACACTAATGTTAAATTCTTTTGTCAGGTTTTTTAAAAAACTGAAAAAGCAAATTTTAGTACTGATTATTAACATAACTTTGAGTTAATTTTGTGATGACATAGGTACTGTCTTCACACAGTCCATTTCTGTAGCATGGATTTTTATGCTACATGTTTTGCAGCAGTGCCTGGAATATGATACCACTGAGAACTTTTGTCCTTCAAAACCGTAGTAACCTGGATGTTTATCTAGGATATGGTGACAAATTTCTACTCTCTTTAGTGAAAGACAGAAGTGCAAAAGTTAGGCTAGAAGGCTGGAATGTCAGGAGACTATTGAAGTTTGGAAATGTCAAAGCAGGCCTCGTTCCCTTTATTTTACTCCTTCTATTCATTGTACAACAAAACTCACATCTGGCAATGCTAAAAGTACACCCTCTTGCCCTTTCTTTTCTCATCACCCTGTGGAAACTTGTGCTAGTTTAACAAGAAAGTTCTTTGCAGGCAAAAAAATTTAGCTTGTTCAATTAAGTGAAATATATCAATTAAAGATGTATATATATATATATATTTGTTATTTAATTGAACCAACATTTTTGCTTACAAATGTTTTTCCTCATTTAATTTTTTTTTTTTTTTTGGGTATATTTAGGGAGTACAAGTGCAAATTTCTTAACATGCGTATATTGCGTAATGGTGGAGTCTGGGGGTTTTAGTGTACCTGTTACCCAAATAGTGAGCATTGTACCCAATACGTACATTTTCAGCCTTCACCCCACCCCTATTGTCCCACCTTTTATAGTCCCCAGTCAATGCCTGTTATTCCACTCTGTACGTTCGTGTGCCCCCATTGTTTAGCTCCCACTTATAAGTGCGAACATGCAGTGTTTGACTTTCTGAGATATTTCACTTAGGATAATGGCCTCTAGTTCCATCTGTGTGGACAAACATTTATTGTGCCCCAGTGCAGAGTTCTGAACCAGGAGAAAGAAGACCTGGGTTTGGATCTCAGCTCTGCCAATGTATCAGCCAGCATCCAATCAGAAGACAAACCTCCTCGGTATTGAGTTTTCATTTTAAAGATTTTATTTAATATTTTTAAATTAGCCTTTATTTTGAGATCATGGTAGACTCACATGCAGAAATAATACAAAGAGATCCCAGGTTCCTATATTGAGTTTCCCCAAAGGAAAAATCTTGTAAAACTATAAAATATCACAATGAGGATATTGATATCAATACAGTCAAGAAAAAGAACATTTTCGTCACCACAAGGATTCCTCTTACTGTCATTTTCTAGCCCCATTCACTTCCCTCCTCCTCCCACTCCTCCTAATCCCTGACACCCACTAATACAGCCTTCACTTCTATAATCTTATTTTAAAAATGTTATAGGAATGAAATCACATAATACGTAACTCTTTGGGACTGGCTCTTTTCCTTCAGCATTCTTCTGTGGAGATTCATTCAGGTTCTTCCATATTGATAGTTTGTTCCTTTTTCTGGCTGAGCAGTATTCCGTGGTATGAATGTATCACAGTTTAACTGTTCACCCACCGAAGACCTCTGTGTTCTTTTCAGTTTTGGACTATTATGAATAAAGCTGTTGTAAACATTTGTGAAGGAGTCTTTGGTGAATATAAGTTTTTATTTCTCAGGGATGTGTCCAGGAGTGTGCTTTCTGAGTCATATGTTAATTGGATGTTTATTTTTTAAGGAAACTGTCAAAATGTTTTTCAGAGTGGTTGTACCATTTTACATCTGTGCTTTTCTGCATTAACTGACGTGATTATATAATTTATTTCCATTAGCTTATTAAAATGGGTTACACTGATTGATTTTTAGATGTTAAACTAGCCTTGTATTCCTGGAATAAA